TCTCTTCCTCAGGTCTACCTTCTTGTTGCCTTGTATTAGAGTGCAGAGGTTGCTGAAGTACGCTCCCACGATGGTGGAGAGATGCACAAATGGACCCTGATGTTAAGAGACAAATAGAATATATGTTCATGTATGTTTATGAATCATGGCAAACAATCTCAAATGGACGCTTTGTAGGACAAACAGGTGTACTGAGATGCGTCTCACCACTTTGCCCAGAAAAATAGTGCTGCCGGCTGCCAGTGTACAGACGAGGGCTACGAGCTTGGTGAACAAATTAGTGAGGGACAAGTAATGAGGCATTTCAATGCCTGCCAGCATGGTCCTCACCTCTGGTATCCCCGAGCCTGCAGAGAAAGAAATTGACAGAAAGACGCTTAAAAAGAAAAACTTCCTTGAGATTAAATTGCCCCGACCTCTTTTTCACTGCACAGAGATCCTTTCTTCCTAAACATTTTCTGTCAGATAGATAAAATCTTGCCTGACCTTTCAAGTTTACCTTTATGTTTGAAAGATAATATCGGCCTAGACTTTTTCTCAATGCCGTTTGCTCGGTGGGAAAAGAAAAATGTTTGTAAAATAATGTAAAAGTTTGATTTGTCTCAGTGTTTTATTTCAACTTTTTCAAGTCTCCCACTTGATGAGAACTTGTGGCCTTGTGTGGGTGGGAGGGGGGGGGCTATGCCCACTGTTTTGCCCCCCGTCCTCCGAGCAATGCGAGCCCCACAGCACAGGTGGCGAGTAGATGAGTCAGCTCCTACGTCAGTATGCTGCATTATAATCCCTGTTTTTATTGTAAATGTTCCCTACCATTATTTTACAGTTGCAATTTCTATTTTGCATGAGCGTCGTTCTCCTGCTTGTATTGTCAATCGAATATTTTGATTTCATTTCTGTTATTGTCCTTTCTCTCAGTGAAGCAAAGCTGCATTGATTGGAAGCTGTGGTGAGTTCTCTACACGTTATGCATCCAAGTAAAAGCACTCAAACACAAATTGCATTATTTGGGCTGTGGAAAGTGAGCAGTAGTTCCCTTTGGCACTCCTCAGTGTGTATATGCCTCTCCACCTCCACCTCTGGCCTCAGCACACTTTCCTACCTGTTCTTTCTGTGTTCTAACTGTCGCTCTCAGATGAAGGTTTGTTACAAAAGTCGCATGCATTTGGAGTTGTGTTTAACAAATGTGAGGCCCATATTTACTCTGATGCTTCAACCTAAACTGCTGCCGTACAGACCTGTGGAGAACGGACAGATGTTGTCAGTGAACGATGATGCGGCAGCACAGAGGCATGCTGGGTAAAGTGTCCAGCAGAAGAACTGCAGCAGGCCGTTGCCCTCCAGCTTCAAATAAAGCCACTGGTGAGCTGCACGTGGAGCAAAAGCGAAACATGAGCGGTTCCGTCATTGGCTCACGCCCATTGCGTCCTCGTACGTGAGTGCGTCTACCTCGCAGCAGCTTCGTCACACTCAGGTCCACCAGGAAGCTGAGGACGGCCATTGAAATGCCGAGAGCAGCGTAGCCGTACCACTCCATCCCACACACTGTCCCCAAACAGCTCCTCAGCCTCAGCAGCCACTCTGAGGAGTCAAGGGTGGAGCTTTAAGCCTCGACTGTCTCGAAAGTCTCTCCAATTTACCAGTACGTGTAGTTTCTCTCCTAGACAAGTCTATTGGAAAAACTATTGGACGTCACTGGTAACGTGCTGGAATGCAAACAGGCACCAAAAAAACACATTTAAACAGCACAATGTAAAGAAATCTAGCAACGCACATGAATGCGTAAGAATATTACATCTCGGTAGTGAAGCAGCAAACAGTTCCCCTCATTTTCAAAGCATTGCAAAAGTCAAATCTATGTCTTAAAATAAGCTCAAAGCTTCAAGCCTCAGCTTGAGGTCGTGAATAGATAGTTTGATTTATTGATCGGGGTTGGTATCGATCACATTCTAACGATTTTCTACTTCGGTCTGACCTTTGACAGTTGCACGGGACCGTTGGCATGGTTTCCATGGATCAGCTTGAAGCAGAATCGTATCACACGACGGGTCTGATTGATTTGCTCGCTCCCGGTCGTTGTCCTCTCCGGCGCTTTGGCTCTCAGCAGGCTCCTCCGGGCTCTTTGTTGGGTCTCGGAGTGTTGGCGTCATTGTGTGATTACAGTCTCAATCAAACACTAATGCTCGATGATTGGAGGGAGAAATATGAATGCCCGGATGCACTCATTGCTGTTGCTGACCAAAAGAAACTAGAAGACAGGTAGACTTACCTTCAGGTTGCACAGTGTTGCTACTCTGACCTTTATCGAGGTATCTGCATGGAGGTGAAGGAGCAGTCATGGTTGAAAGGGTAGCTAATATTAACTCTTTAGTTGAACAAGTGCCCTTCATCTGACTTTATAGCAGCGGAGCAGTGAGAGAGACTTTTTCACGCTACAGGGCATTTTAATTAAAAATTGGATATAGCAATCCCACAATCATTTTTCTATTAGCAGAGATTACAGGATTGTCGGCAGAAAGATCAAGAACAATGCGGAATATATTCAACAAACGGGGGAATTAGATGAGAAAGAGTCATTTGAAGATATACATCTAAAGTATTTGCTATTGCTTTTCTTACGTCAGTGATTGGTTTCAAAGACTCGTTTGAAAATCCCTGTAGGACCAGAAAAAGACTTTTAAGAGGAAACGATCATTATGAAGCTGGTAAATATCCGGCACTTTGTAGGAAGTGAGTGTTTTGTGTATTCGAACGGATTGCTGAAGGTCGAGGCAATCGGTGTTCTGATCTTGGAGAACACACACACACACACACACACACACACACAGACTTTAAATGAGCCTTTAGTTAATGTTTATTTTCCCCAGTTTCACCTCCCCAAGCGGATATCAATAAGCACTTGTGTGATTACAGAGCGTCAGCCACACTTAAACCCCCATAAACACGCATGTTCTCTTTTAGAAATCGACAGACTGCTCTTGTCTTTATAAAAACTTGTTTCCATGGAAACAACAACCCGAACCCACCAGAGAACCAGACCGTAAATTTTGTACTTAACTATCATAAACATTCATTGCTGACAAACAGAAGTTTCTCCTCAGGCGTTATAAGAAAAGAAAAATCTCCAAACTGACAGTAAAAATAAATCAGACATCATAGGTTAAACATTTTTTTTTCCAATAGAAATACAAAAGGAAAGCACATGAAATATAAATATATATCCATTTGTGATTGAGTTTTTTTATTTATACAATATTGGGAACAACTGGCTTTTTTTGCAGCTGCATTATTGATAAAAAGTCAACAATTTATCAACTGTCTATAATATGAAAACGCTGCCCCAAGTGTCCAAAAGTGAAGTGATGCTATATATATATTTTCCCTGTTAAGACCCAGTCTCACAGACCTCATCATGTCCTCATGAAGACGACCATCTTACTTAATCAAATTAATCATAGTGGGACGACCTTCCAGGTCCATCACTGTAGGACTTGACCCGCCGCCTGCAACATTGCGTAACATGTAGCAGCTGAGGAAGACGTGTGTGTGTGTGTGTGTGTGTGTGTGTGTGTGTGTGTGTGTGTGTGTGTGTGTGTGTGTGTGTGTGTGTGTGTGTGTGTGTGTGGCCAGATGAGAATGCAAACACAAGCCCACACACATAGAGGGGACTCAAAGTCACTTATGAGACCATTTCTTTTCTGGCGATCAGTCTGTGTGTTCCAACCCTGCGGCTGGAAAACTGATTTGTTTAAATTACTTTTATTTCCTTGCAGCCGCGACCATTTTGACCTTTGTTATGATGAAAAAAAAATGATCAAGATAAATAACATGACCGACTTGATTAACATTACTAACATATTCATTCCCCTGACTCTCCCTACAGCTTTGATCCCAACGGATCAGAGGAGCAAAACCCAATCTAACTGAATAAAAGCTCAGCATGAACCAGCAATATTACTGCTGGTACTGTGGGGGGAGGTTGGGGGGGGGGGTGTTTTCTCCCTGGCAGGGAAACTGTGAGTTGCTGGTCTGGATTTAGACCTCCAGCCGAGGACCCTGAGCTCTATACTGATAAGACAGCAGGCACATTGTGCCGGGTAACCTTTCGAACATGGCGTCGGACACTTTGGTTCGTTTGGTTTCAGCTGCGGACCACCGTTGAATTTCAGGACAACTTCGATTCGCCAAGATTTGAGGTCCGGCGTGGCAGCTGCGTGGTGTCGGTCAATAAATGGTTGTTGTTTTGTAAAGACAAAAGCAGAAGTCCAGTGAGCCCATAAATGGATGTTAACGGATTAGCTGTCACCGATGACAGGAGGAGGAGGGGCAGTGAGTGTTTTCTAATCACGATGGCCTGTGCTCTCTGCGCAGATATTAATAGCCACAAAGCAATGTCACCACTAAGTCCCCTGCTCGCGCTGACGCCTTTGTTGTCACGCATTCTTTCCATCTTTGTTTGCTCTCGACGCGATTCACTTTCCAATGGGAGTTCCACTTTCCGACCGGCTCGGCGGGACGAACACAGCGGTTTCCACGGTCGGCCATTTTTGAGGTGTTTATAACCGAGATAATAAACGGATGAGAAAAATCCCTCCACTGGGGCAATTCCATGTGATGGCAGAACCGTGTGACAGTCCAATTGGAGAACAAAGGCATGGCGGTGAAGGACGACGGGCCGATGAAGCAATGGAGTGTAAGCTGAATTAAAGGGAGGAGAGGAAGTCTATTTCAGGGGGCGATGCGTCTGAAATGACAACTGTTGCCCCCCCCTCCCCCCCCCCTCCACCTCCTCGCCTTAACCCCGGCTCTTTCTCTACCTCTATCACATCCTGCTAACCTCAAAGCCTCCAATGCCCTCAACTTTTCCAACAACAAGCCGCTCACTCCATCGCTGTCATGATAAATATAGAACGCTGTTACCCTTTTCCGTTGAGCTGTGACGCACGTGCGCGCCGACTGGACGGCGCAGTAGATAAGGGCCGAGGGAGGGGGGGCAAATACACAGTTTTAACAAAATACAAACAGGGGGAATTCAAACCCATAAAGGACCGGGCAGATAAGAAGGACAGGAGAAGGGTGTGCTGTTCATTGCGTTGAAAGCGTCCGCACACCAGAAGACTCCCCGCCTCCCTCTTCCCTCCCTTCTCTCTCTCTCCTCCTGTGCCTCGCCCAGCACTCTCTGCCATCCATGAGCGGGACCAACTCGTCTGCCTATCGATCGGAGCGCAGCTTTCACCAGACCTCGTCCTCGTCCTCGTCCTCTGGGAACCCACACATGGAGAAGAGCCGGGGACTGTTCGCCGAGGACTTTGGCTCCTTCATGCGGCCCGGCAGCGAGGCCTTGGGCTTCCCCAGTAAGTCGGAGGGGTCCGGTTCTCGTATTGTCTGCTAGAGGGGGGTTTGAAGGGGCAGCTTGTACTGAGATCTGTGTGCAGGCTTGGAGGCAACTTGCTTGAAGGCTCGTGGTGTTTTATTTCTGTGGTGACAAATTATATCCGAGCTGAGACCGTTGAGAGAAAAAAGAAAAGGGTCTCTGGTGAGGTTGATGTGTACAGAGAAGATGTGTTTCCAAAAATGTAGGAACTTTTTTTGCCAGCACGGAGGAACCGCTCGGCTCTCCCATTACATGTTTTGGGGTCGAATACACATGTAGGTCAGGAGACGGTTCCCTCTGCGTGCTTCACCTGGAAGCTCGGTGGTGTGTGCGGCCGGTGTGAACCGCTGTGCGTCGGTTCACCGCTGGCACACAGACGTGTGAACGTGTGACTTTAAATGGGCTCTGGGTTTATGTGGCCCAGGGGTCGGCGGCAGAGCAGAACTGTGAGTGTCTGCAGGCACAACAAGGCAAAACAACACACTCACACACACACACATGCACGGCTGGAGAATGCTGGACTGGCTGCCAGCAGCGGTGTGACTTCACACACTGAGAATCTGGAATGACGCCTGCGTGAGGAATGACCAGATGGTCGCCCGGTGACCGGTGTACACATCAAATACACACGCAGATTTGGAATGATGTCACGCAGTCAAACTAACCTGCGCATGTGAAGTCACACCACTCGTGTGTCTCTGCTGGACCCTGTTTCTGCCTCATCATTGCTTCTTTTGTCTTGTGCCGCATAATTGGCCATTTACTCAAACCGAGATTTGGACCTTGCATCTGCACACAAAGCTCTTCTACTGCTCTTCTCAGACCAAATATGTTCTTAAAAGTTTAAAAGGAGTTTAAAAAGACACTTAACACTATAAAAAATGATATTTTTGTATTTTAGTCCATACGTCCAAATGGAAATAAAGGAATGGAGAGCCAAATGAAACATGTGACTAAACAATAATCCCGTTTGTTCCATTGTGTTAAGAATAGAAAGACAGTCAACGCACTTCTCATCTCCTGATGTTACATTAAGAGCCAACACCCTGAACCAGAGCAATGCAATGATTTTTCTATTTGTTGGGTCAAAATGTCTTTTGTAACGTTTTGAGGTGGTCCTCATTTTACTGTTTTTTTTAAACATGTTTGTTTTTAAAGAAAAAAATAATGATCCTTTATGTGTTTTAAAAAAAAAAATTGCCTCTCTAGAAAGCTTTATATCTCAGCTAACTTGGGCGTAACAGAGAAGTGACTTTTGGTCATTTAGTGTTTACTACGATTTTATTGAACATAGAAATGAGATAAGATTGGAATAAAAGTGATACTTTTCCTGCTCTAACATCCTTTCTCCTGCTGAAATACGTCAGGTGCATCTGGTAATGTAAAGACTCTTGGAGATTTGTACCAGTTCACGGTGGACGTGCAGGACTTCTCCCCTGAAGATGTCATCGTCACCACATCCAACAACCAGATCGAGGTTCATGCAGAGAAGGTGTGCAGACCCCCTTTTCATTCTTATTTGGAACCATAAGTCTTTAGATCAATATTAGTGTTCCCCTTGAAGCGACGGTGTGGTTTAACGCAGAGCACTGTGCAGTGGACGCACCTCTTGTCACAATATGCATCCTCTCTGTCACAATGCACTAAGTCATATTCTAACTTTGGCAGTTGGCGCAAGATGGTTCGGTCATGAACACTTTCACGCACAAGTGCCAGCTGCCCGACGACGTGGACCCCACCTCGGTGACATCATCGCTGGGCACCGAGGGGACCCTGACAGTCACGGCGCGGCGACACCCGGCCAAACACGAGCTCGCACAGACCTTCCGCACAGAGATCAAGATCTGAAGAGCCCCCTTTGCGTGTGTCGCACTCCAGATGTTTTGTGTTCTCGTGCTACTTCCTGGACTTCCTGTCTTCACTTTAACCATTCTACTTTAAACGCCCAACAGAGAGAGTTGCCCCCCCCCCCCCCTGTGCTCTGTGCAACACGGCGCATTCTCCCTCCGTCACTGGAGCGATGCCTGTTGCTGCTCATCTGCATCGGAGTCACTTCCCCTCACGCGACAGCGATGGGTCACGTCTGCACGTAACATGCTAAGACACTGAGGTTGGGCATTTCCTCTCTCTCGCGCACACACAAGCAAACGCACACACATAGCAACTACCTGATCGCTTTACTCCGGTCCCCTAACATTGTCCTAAACATGAAGACTCTCCTCAACTGATGCCACGTTAATAATAACTTATTATGTATTATTATTTGAATTAAATGATCCTGCTTTGACGATAAATATCATGTGTGGTCTCTTGAATGACATACTTTATGGCATTGCAAATTTCCATATAGTATATGAATATATATATATTAGTATATATAGTATATAGTATGTGAAGTGCAAATGGTTTCTTTTAGACCTCTATGAACCTTGTTTTGTTGGTAGAGGGCATGTTGGAGGCATCAACTCAGTGTTAAGTCCTCAGCCGCTGTCCAAAATGTATTTTTTTTTAGAACAGAACCATAATTTACCAATCCCAATGAAATAATGAGCTGTTTTAAAGCATGATTAGCGTCAAAATGCGTGCTTTCTCCCCGATATATGCCTACATGAGACAAAGGCCTAAATGTTGGTAAGCAGTGAATACCACAAGGAAATGAATGAGACATTTGAGCTAAGAGGAAAGACGGTGCTTTTATTCAATTATTTTGTGACGCAAAGGCGGCATTTACGACACAACTGTCCTGCTTTCATCAAGGGCTCTATTCAAGTAAAAACTATTTTGATCCCTATTCTACGCGGCCGTAAGTTAGTCGAGCAAATCGCGCCCCCACGTGGTCGTCGTAGGCACGCGTCGCGTGTTCACACTGCGCATGCGCCCGCGATACATCCGGCCGGTCCCTATCAATCGATCAGAGAGAGGAAGATGGCGGTGGACGGAGTCAACGGGGGAGGATCGATCGCCGAAAAACTCGATTGGGTCTGTTTTTCCTAACCGAGCCAAACACTCGGTATCACCGCCCGAGCATCGGTTTGAACCCGGAGTGAAGAAGCGATAACACAGAGGTAATCCACCAGCTGTTCTTAAATAAAATGGCGCTTGAATAAAGCAAAGTTAGCGAGCTAGCCGAGAAAACAACAAGCGGCGGAGAGACGAGCGCTCCTCGGCCGTCCGCCATCTTGTCCCTTCGCTCTGTGCGTGTTCAGGCACGCTAAATTAATCCCCGATAACGAAGCTGTAAGGATGGAGGAATTGTAATCGATGCGTTGCACCGTCAAACCAAGCTGTCAAAACGTTTAAAACAAACCCAGCAGCGGTCACGTGTTTCCAGCGGCAGAAGCCACATTGTGGTTCATTTCGCTTCTTGTTGACTCGCATATTATTGCGACGCATTTCCTACATTAACGCGGTAGATGACGTTCTTTATATACGACGTGTGTGTGTTTGGGGTCCTTTACTTCTCCCTCTAGTATTTCCTGCTAGTTTTGTGTTGACACACTTTGTTCTAACAATAAACACAAGTACCTGTTTGACTTTTGCATTAAAGGTAGTTGGACAAATCTCAAAAAATAAATAAATAAAATAATGTATTTAATTGACCTAACCGTTATAAAATGAGATTCTGTCGTGTTTGCAAATATAAATTAGTTGCAGAATACTTACAGCTCTTACAACGTTGTTGTCTGACAATTGAGGATATTCCAATATTGCAAAACTCTGCCTGAAACCTTTTTTTTAACGGGGAAAATGTGTGGCAGAAACGGAGCAATCAAAGGTTGAAATGTCACGCCAAGCCGCTCAGCCCTTTTCGAGCCCTTTGCTCGTGTTTTCCGCAGAGCAGCCGGCCTCTTGCAGCCCTCCTGGGGGGCTCTGGGACGATGGAGTTCCCGTGGCACAGCGGGAAGGTTCTGGAGCAGCTGAACCGCCAGCGCAGACAGGGCATGCTGTGTGACTGCACCTTCGTGGTGGACGGGGTGGACTTCAAGGCGCACAAAGCCGTGCTGGCGGCCTGCAGTGTCTACTTCCGCACCCTGTTCCTGGACCAGACAGACGTGGTGCACCTGGACATCAGCAATGCAGCGGGTGGGTCGAGTCTTTGTATAATTTTCACATGTACTTCATTTTTTTATACCGCGCATGGCGTCACAGTGCTTTACATCAACAACAGTTCATGTACCACATCGTTACTGCTGTCTGACCCGGCCTGTTGTATTGTTGGTTATCGCTGCAGGTTTGGGGCAGGTCTTGGAGTTCATGTACACAGCCAAGCTGACTTTAAGTCCACAGAACGTGGAAGACGTGCTTGCAGTTGCTAACTTTCTACAGATGCAAGAAATTGTAAACGCCTGCTCTGCGTACCAGTCGATGGCAAATCCTGCTCCGTCCCTCATAACCCTGGATTTTGCCGTTGGTGAGTCTGGATTGATGCACAAACCTCGGCAGATTTTCATGTCTGAACCTTTAAACCGCTGGTGGACAGATGAGGTTAGCAGGAGACAGTTTTCTGTGTTGAATGAATCAACAGTTTAATGTGGTTAACCTCAATTAAGTTGCCTGTGTGTATTTGTTAGTTAACGGGTAAGCGATTAACAATAACATACTTCCCCGGCATATTTTTGCATCCGGTGAAGTATAATCAACAGACAATTTCAAAAATATCCAAATTTTCGTGCAATCGATCAGTCTAATCTGGTTCTTTTTGATTTTTATTTATAAGCCTACTGTGATATTAGTATATTAGATTCAAATTCACAAAGTATAAAATATGGTCCCTTTTATATACAATTTTTATCCACCATATCGTACTAAAGAAGGAGACCTTTCCTTTTTGTCTTTACCAACAAACCAGAGGAGAAACGCGAAGAAGGCGAGCAGAGGGAGGAACTGGAGAGAGACCTGGCAGAGGGGGCATCTCAAGCAGAGGAAAGTCCCTGCGCTCCCACGCAAGATAAAAAACCCACACAAAATGATGAAAATATTGAGGAAGACGTCTCCACCGAGAAACAACAGACGGTTTCTTCTCCCAGCCCGACCAGAACCCAATCGGACCGAGGACGAGTCCGCAAAACCGCCCCCCTTCCTCAAAAGAAGATCTCTGTGAAGAAGGAGGAGGAAAGTGCTGCAGAAGATCCACCCGTATCTGACCCATCTGATGCTGACCACATCCCCAGTGAGTGTGTAGCGACAGAATGACTTTGAATTTGTCCATTAGTATTTGCAAATATCATAGAGTTGCTTATCTCTTAATTAAGAGACAATTTTCTTTTGTTCACAGAATCACCGCTGAAATCTGCCTGCTCGTCATACATGAGCTCTCGGGGGAGACGAATCAGAAAACCGCCTCACCGAAACTTCCCACCTGGTGAGCAGGGTAGTTCCACCCCACTTCTTCTTTCCCAACATATTCCAGACTGAAAAGTCAAGCAAATTGGTACATTTAGAAGAGTTTTCAATAGATTTATTTGTTAATTATTTTAGTGTAGAGTTTCAGTCTTCCATTTAAATGCAGGCATATGAGGCCCTTTATACCAATTTAAAAATTTTAATCCGCGTGAGGCTGTGTGTCATACACAAACAGATCGTCATTTTCGAGACTTCTCAATCGTCGCCCTTTTTAGACAATGACTCTGAGGAAGAAGCCCCACCAAAGACCCAAACTCAGAAGAGGGCGGCAGAACTAGCCTGTGAACCGGAGGAGGACGCTGAGGAGACCGGGGACGGGGAAGCCGACGACGAAGAGGGGTCGGGAGAGGAAGGTGACGATGACGATGTTGAAGGGGTCAATTCGGGCAGCGAGAGGGAAGGGGGACAAAATCAGTCAGCGTCCATGAGCAGCCGATCCGAGTCAAAGCTTTACAGCTCTGTGACACACAAATGCGAGGTGAGGAACGTCCGGGTGCAGGAGGGAAGAGGCTCGTTTTCTTAACTCTAATGTTCAAAATAATTCTGAATTAATTTTGTACTTGTATGTACTTGTAAGTGTATGAAACTAAATGTCATCAACTTTGTGCTACACGTTGTGGAATGGTTGATAACTGTTGCATCAAATCTAATATATCTGCATCAAACCTGGACACATTTCTGATTCCGGGAGCTTTCATGCAGATGTTTGTAAAATGTTGGGGGTTCACATAAAGGTTCAGCACGAATAGGCTTTGCTCACTCGACGTGACCTTTTCTTCTTCTCAGGACTGCGGCAAGAAATTCACCCACACTGGCAATTTTAAGAGACACATGCGCATTCATACAGGAGAGAAGCCGTTCAGCTGTCGCGACTGCAGCAAAGCTTTCTCCGACCCCGCGGCCTGTAAAGCCCACGAGAAGACACACAGGTGAATCCCTTTGTTTCTACTTGGACACATTTGGTTCACCGGCACCTGCTCTTACCGGGATTGTGTCTTAAATTGCCGCTGTCGCTGCCTCGCAGCCCTCTGAAGCCGTACTGCTGCTCGACCTGCGGGAAGAGCTACCGCCAGATCAGCCTGCTCAACCTGCACCGCAAGCGGCACACGGGCGAAGCGCGGTACAGCTGCGAAATGTGCGGCAAGCTCTTCACCACGTCTGGCAACCTGAAGCGCCACCAGCTGGTGCACAGCGGCGAGAAGCCGTACCACTGCGACTACTGCGATAAGTCCTTCTCCGACCCCACCGCCAAGATGCGACATCTGGAGACGCACAACACGGAGAAGGGCAACAAGTGTTCATACTGTGACAAGCGCTTCAACCAGGTAATAATACACCATGCAAACAAAACACAACATGTTATTCCCAAACGGTAATGATGGCAGATTCTCGTATGCCGGTGAAATGTAGAGTTTGACAGCCACATCGAGAGGCAATTCAGTGATGCGCTATTTACGGATGTTGTGTTGACTTTGTTAACCAATTATTATTATTACTTGATTTTATGTTTTTCTTAGCCGGGAAATCTGAAGGCTCACTTAAAGATTCATATTACCGACGGGCCTCTCAAGTGCAAAGAATGTGGCAAACAATTTACGACTTCAGGTAAGAAAGACCGCATTCTTCTTAAGACGTGTAGGTCTGTTGCACGGTTGTGAACTGTAGTGTTAAAATGCTTTGAGCTCTAGGAAGACTAGAGAAGCGCTATGATGAACAGTCCATTTGTCACCCAACAAACTGAAGTTCTACCTAAACTCTTTCTGATCCTTTAAATCCAAGCAACTGTATAATCACTTCCTGATAATGGTGCAGTATTATTTAATTCCAGCTGCTTTCAGGCAGTCTGCGCGTCATCTGAAGGAGGTTTTCTTCTGGAACGTCATTGCTTTGAGGCATTTGGTCCAACCTTTGTGTGCTTTTTAGGAAATCTGAAGAGACACCTGCGAGTTCACAGTGGGGAGAAACCATACGTCTGTATGCACTGCCAGAGAGCTTTCAGTGACCCTGGCGCTCTGCAGCGGCATGAACGCATTCACACAGGTACTTCCGTGACACTCGTAGAGACTGTGGAATGATGTGCTTTCATTGAGAAACGGCGCATGTATGATTTACATCCCCCACGATGAGACTGTTGTTCATGGGCTACAGGAGAGAAGCCCTGCGTCTGTGTTATCTGTGGCAAGGCCTTCACGCAGGCCAGCTCGCTCATCGCTCACGTCCGACAGCACACAGGAGAGAAGCCCTACGTGTGTGATCGCTGTGGCAAAAGGTCAGCAAACAGATAAATCACTGCTTTAACAAAAGTTGTATTTTTTTTATTTATTTTTTTCTTGGGGAATGTAAACTTAATTTATCTAACAAGGACATTGGGAGAGTGTTTAAAGAATGAGAGCACAAAAGATTAACTTTCGGTTTCACGTGTTATCTTAAGGTTACAGTCTTTAGGGGGAAAATTCCCTCCCCGTATCACAATAAAACACATAGCTAGGAATAGGATAAAACAACCAGCCATTTAGCAGCTTGCCACAGAGCAGAAGGAGAAGCAGATCTTCATCTACTGAAAATATTTTCTTTCCCTGGAATTTTTTTGGACTGGCTGTTTAAATGGGGTGCCATTTTGTGTGTGTGTGTGTGTGTGTGTGCTGGATGCATTTTAATGTTTGTCTCCGGACAGGTTTGTGCAGTCCAGTCAACTGGCCAATCACATCCGGCACCACGACAATGTCCGGCCGCACAAGTGTCAGATGTGCAACAAGGCATTTGTTAATGTGGGAGACCTGTCGAAGCACATCATCATTCACACAGGTATGGACAGGATTAGTGTCAAATAATTGTGGAGCAATGGTGGAAATAGGGAGACGTCCAGCAGAGATTGTTACTTTCGCCCCGTTGATTCTGTTCCTCCGTCCTGCTCTCTCAGGGGAGAAACCTTTCCTGTGTGATAAATGCGGCAGAGGCTTCAACCGGGTGGACAACCTGCGCTCCCACGTTAAGACCGTCCACCAAGGCAAGGCCGGCATGAAGCGGCTGGTGATGGGCGGGGGCAGCGCGGATGAGGGGGGCGACGGGTCTGCGGGGGCGTGCCCCTCTGACAACGAGATCAACATAGTCACCGTCACCACGGAGGACATCGTCACCCTGGCAACTGAGGCCCTGGCAGCCAGTGCGGTCGCTCAGCTGACAGGTCAGGCAGCATCCAGTGATGTCAGGGAAAATATCAACATTTCCTTGGGTTGAATCTCTGACAATTGATGCAGCTGTTCAATGGGAAATATGAGAATTAAAAGTATTTCAAGGTGTTTAATGTTTGTTTACTTTGTGTCTGTTGACAGTTGTTCCAGTGTCTGCAGATGAGACGGAGGCTTTGAAAGCTGAAATAACCAAGGCGGTAGAGAGAGTGCATGAAGCAGGTAGGACATTAAGAAAATTTCTACAAAGTATGAACGTTACTTAAAACATTGTATTTGAATATTTAATAAGCTTTGGAAACTATTTTTGCTAATGCTGTTTTACTGCAAGGGTGCAGCAGCATTATTACAATTTAGGCCCTGGCTTTGGAACTGGGACGGCCAGCTGAGAAATCCTGGAATTCAGCATTAACTGTCAACACATTTAACAGAAACATTACATTTTCTATTGAAAACACAATATCTGTATCTTCGGTCTCCTGCGTAGAATAAGAGTTTTCCCTTTTTTTCAAACGTAGACACCAAATACAAACTTGAATCACTAACTCTGTCAAATGTTCTTTTGTTTCCAGACCCCAACACCCAGATTTTGTATGCTTGTGATTCATGTGGTGACAAATTCCTGGACGCCAGTTCCCTGGCCCAGCACGTACGCATCCACACCGCTCAGGCACTGGTCATGTTTCAGGCAGATTCTGACTTCTACCAATACACCACAGCCACCACTGCTGAGGGGGAATCTGCAACAGCATGGCAAGCCACAGCTGAACATGTCATCCAGGAAGGAGATCTGATTTTCCGAGCCCAGGAGGGAGAGGGAGAAGGAGAGGCAGAGGGGGAGATGGTGGGGGAGACGCACAGCGAAGAGACTGGAGAGGTGATTCCTGAGGGGGAGAGGGAAGATGAAGAGGTGGAAACTCCCATCGAGATCCACACGGAAGGAAAAGATGAAGATGCAGCAGAGGCAGAAGACGAAAAACAAGAAGAGATGGAATGTGAGAGTCAGGCTTAGTGGGGCAGGAGAAGGAAATATGAAGACATTAATTGAGTTTAATAAGGCCTCTGAGTCTCAACATGCCGTGCTATGAATCTAAACTGGCTTCACAACGTACAACACTTTGTACACAATTTTATCTTTGAATGTATGGTCAAAAATGTGTTTTGCAGTCCTAATTTCAGAGGGTCCAGTGATAAGATAAAAAATGTTGATACTCTTCCTGAGATGTTTATACTAAGTTGTATAGTATGTTTATTTTTAGAATGAAACGCAGGATTATCCTGTCTTTCCATTAGAGAAAGTCCTAGTGTTATTTTTCCATTTCACCCAGAAGAGAGATGTACATTTCCCTTTAATAGTAAAAAATATTTTATTGTGCTTACTTAGTTTTATTGTACTGAGTATTGTAATTCACATAATATAGAGATTATCCACATGAACATGTCAGCAGATTTAAGATTGAGATGGGCGTAAATTCACTCCTCTTTCCAGAAGTTGGATGATGTCATGAATCAAACACTGTAAATGCTGTGTGTGTGTGTAATATTTCTATATGTGTTATATGTTCTTGCAACTAGGTCTTAAATGAATTGCTTAAAGAGAAAGGAATAAATATAAATGCAGATGACAGCCTGGTCGAGAACTCTCACATTGATAGAAGGACAGTTGTTTTTCTTGTTTTGCAGTAAACTGATCATAATAGTGTGAAGATTGTTCCCTGAAACCAATGGTTTCATGTCATTATGTTGTCTGCTTATATCATCACCTGTAAGGCTCACTGGTAGTCATCATCTCATCAATAAAGTGTCTGCAGTCTGACGCATCCGCTTCGTTGTGATGTTATTTTGCTAATGTACAATGTGCTGTTAAGTTTGTGTTTATATTGCTCTCAGAATGTCAAGATTGTTTAAGTAATACAATCTATTGATTCACTGAGGAAAATAAGTCACCCTCACAGGCACAAACACACATTAACTGGTTTTACATGTCTCCACACTACTTCTTCCGTGGCTGTCAGTCTTATAATAAAGCTTCCATCCCATTGGCGGAGAGGAACCCAGAAGGACGCGTTCCTCTCGCTGATTGGCTGAATCTCGGGGTCAAAGTTGAGTCGACTCCTAAGGCTGACGCCGACTTCTGCAGCAAAATGGCGTCGTTGACAGCAGTCGTGCAGACGAGTCCGTCCGGTCCTTTATTATCCTCCAAAAAGCGGAGCGGCACGATGACCCAAAGGAGGTTCAGACTGTTGGACCACAATATACTTGTGTTCCTTTCGTTAGCGTCCATGCTGCATTGTGCTTTGGCGGACGGTAAGACGCTGGTTCTGCTGGACAACCTCAACATCAGAGACACCCATTCAATCTTCTTCCGCAGTCTGGCAGGTCAGTAAATTACGAGGTTTTTGCCATTTTACTCCCTTAACTGTTCTCCTCTTTACTCCGGACAGTCCCTCGCTTTGCTAACAGGTCTCAGGAGTACGCGGTTAAAGTGCTCGTACTCGAGCTTCACGCTGCACAACATGCTAACATTAAGCTAGCATGTTGTGTTAGCCCTGTCGCGTGAATCTAAGTTTAAGGCGCTGGCAGTTTGAAGTAACTTATATTTATCCATCCGGTGGCACGGTACTTGCTTGGTAATGTGAGCTTACAGCGAAATTGTTCGAAATTGAGCCACTTTCTTTCGGCATAACGCAGTAGTACATGCAACGACGCTCAGCAAGTGTGTCAATGTTTCAGTGATGAAGTCTCTCTCTCCTTTTCAGATCGTGGCTTCGACATCACGTTTAAGACCGCTGATGACTCCTCTCTAACTCTGATCAAATATGGCCAGTTCCTGTACGACCATTTGGTCATCTTTTCTCCATCAGTTGAGGGTAAACCACACTTTTCACACATGCTGTATACAATAAATTAAGCTTGCTGTTGATGTTTTTGCCTTTTTTGTAACATTAATACTTGTATCCCTTTCTGGTCATTGGCAGACTTTGGAGGAAATATTAACGTGGAGACAATCACATCCTTTATTGATGGTGGAGGCAACGTCCTGGTTGCTGCCAGTTCAGATATTGGTCAGTGGCTTTTCTGCAATATTGTACAAAGTGTGTAGAAATGTGAATACTGATGCTCTGCTCCTGCTACACAGGTGACCCTCTGAGGGAGCTGGGCAGCGAGTGCGGCATCGAGTTTGATGAGGAAAAGACTGCTGTCATTGACCATCACAACTATGACGTGTCTGACTCTGGGGAGGTGAGCAGAGTTCTGTTCAGACAGCCGCCGCATTCAGTTTGTCTCACGAATCTAGTCCCTACAGCTGATGCTGCATGTGGATTCTTACAAGTGATCCTTCTTGTCTCCAGCACACGCTGATTGTTGCTGATCCAGAGATCCTGATAAAGGCTCCAACCATCGTCGGCAAACCCACCAACAAACCTGTTCTGTTCCGGGGTGTTGGGTAAGCAAAACGCAACACGATTTACATGTTCGCAACGAAGGGTTCATGGTATATTCCTGAAATCACCATCACTGTTACTGAATTATTATTATTCCATGAAAGTGAATGACTACTTGATTACTTTCCCAGAATCCTTAATGTGTTTTTCATTGCACCGGTTTATTAATGGCAGTCTTATAAAGTCTGACTAACGCGACATCTCCCCCTTCCTCCCCTGCAGCATGGTGGCAGACCCAGAGAACCCTCTGGTCTTGGACATCCTGACTGGCTCCTCTACTTCTTACTCATTTTTCCCTGACAGACCCATCTCTCAGGTAAGATCATCAAAGATAACAATTCTGTCTGATATTTTTATGCCACGAAAAAGTCTATTCAGACATTATTTAGTCACAGCAGGCCTGACTGGAAATACTTTTGTGTTTTCATCATCCATGAACGTCCAGGACGACTTTGGAGAATCTATAGTTTCCGTGGAGAGCCAGAAACCAGAGAGAGCCTAATAAAATATGCTTTTACACTTCTCCAGTACCCCCATGCTGTTGGCAAGAACACCCTCATGATTGCCGGCCTTCAGGCCAGAAACAATGCCAGAGTGGTCTTCAGCGGCTCCCTGGAGTTCTTCAGCGACGCCTTCTTCAACTCTGCTGTGCAGAAAGCCACGCCTGGTTCCCAGAGGTAGTCTTTGCTCTTCAAATCCCATCGATCCATTTTTTTGTCTCATGGCAAATAGCTTCCAGTTACAGACTAACACTGGTCATGGTGACACTGATTTTTTTAATTTAATTTGAACAATGTTCATTTACTATTCAACCAAGGTGCATGCAAGTCCTTACATAGTCTTAAAATGCCAACAGTTGAGTTTCTTAAAACCCTTAAAAAGGGTAAAATTCACCACATTTGTATGTGGATGTCAGGTTACTGTTAATGTCAAATGTAGTTCAGCATACTTTTTTTTAAATTTTTTTTAAATAAAGCTGGTTTGTAGTGGAGAAAAGTAGTCTGACATGGTCTTTGAGTATTAAATGGAGTTAACTTGTAATGTGAAAGACTGCAACAAGTAAGAAATGAATAGTTCAGCCATAGTTTGAAGCTTGTTTTTTTTTTTTTTTTCAACCCAGATATTTTTTAATTGGTTTCTGACCATTAATATAAGTTATTCTAATGGACATTTTCATGTCCAAATAGAACCAGCATGAACAAAAACAACTGACTGACAGACAATAATAGACTAGTTGATGAGAACTCCTCTTGTCGTGGTCCTCTTGTTAGGTACGAGCAGACAGGGAACAGGGAGCTGGCCGAGGCGCTGTCCCGCTGGGTGTTCAAGGAGGCTGGAGTCCTCCGGGTGGGAGCCGTTACCCATCATCCTGTTGGAGAGAAAAATCCCCCTGCAGCCTACACAATCACTGACCTGGTGGTAAGTTCACAATTTCAGGTGCCTATGTGAACAATCCTTAGCCTGAAAATGTTTTTGCTGAGTACCTTTTTAAGTGCATATCTCAACCCGTGTAAACCCTTCCCACACAGGAGTACAGCATTGTCATTGAGATGTTGTCCGAGGGCCGCTGGGTTCCCTTCAACGGAGATGACATTCAGCTTGAGTTTGTGAGGATCGATCCCTTCGTCAGGACTTATCTCAAGAGGAAAGGTTTGTCTGGGGTTATAGAACATACACATTAATTCAGGCTTATGGTCTAAATGTGTTGCAGTCTTGTGATTTGTGTGTTTGAGCTGTCTGCACTTAAGCAGTGTATCCACGCTTAACACTGTAGTCTTTCTCCCAGGAGATAAATATAGCGTGCAGTTCACGCTGCCTGATGTGTACGGCGTCTTCCAGTTCAAGGTGGACTACAACCGTCTGGGATACACACATCTCTACTCCTCGACTCAGGCAAGTTGATTGGAAGGTGTACTTCACTTTGGCAAACCAATATCAGAATATTGCTGTGGCTGCGGTCCTCCGATCTACATGCATGGAAATTGACAAATGGTCTGAAATACTAAGGATCAATTATTCACCTCTTTATCCCCAATACCTTTTATGAGTATCCCAGTGATTACTGTATCCCAAAGCCTTGGTCTAGTATTTAAATGTCTACTTTGAGTACTTTGGCATAGAAGAGCTTATCCCTACTCTATAATGAATTTAACACCCATGCTTCGTGGTGCCCTGACCGTACGCTTTTATTTCTTCATCACAGGTATCAGTGCGTCCCCTGCAGCACACTCAGTACGAGCGCTTCATCCCCTCAGCCTTCCCGTACTATGCCAGCGTCTTCTCCATGATGGCAGGACTCTTTGTCTTCAGCATAGTTTTCCTGCACATGAAAGAGAAGGAGAAGTCTGACTAATGCAGGGAGACGGAACGACCAGAATACACATTTGAACTTGTGGTGTGAGGAGTTGAAATTGAATGTCTTGATGGCTTGAATCTCTTCATGCATGGACTTGGTCTGCAAATCTCCATTTAAAAAAAATACAGCTTCTGTTCGGTTATTGGGTTTCTCAACTAATCAGGTGATGGAGTCAAAAAAGATATGACCCTGGTGCAGTCATTTAGGGGTTTGTTTTGGGGCTTTTTGTACTCCTCATTCAAAGGCTTATGTCCTGCATTCAGTCAATGTTTGTATAAAGTTTCTTTACGTTTAACTATTAAGTAGAGCACATCCTTTGGAACCTGAGAGAAATCCATATTACAATTTGATCCAAATGTTTCCAATCAGAAAATGTTATTGCTAAATGCACTGAATATGCCAACTGCTAATGTGTTTTTTTAATAAGCGTTTCCAAAAAGGTTGGAGTCATCTTAACAATAAAATATTGACATTCCACACTAGAAATTCCTGTGATTTCTTTGTCATGCCACGGGCCTCCAGTCAGGAAACCTGGTTGGTGGTTTAAAAATATGCCCCTTTATATGAGCAGCTGCTTTCCAGAGCGAAACGAGCGTATTTACGACATTACTTCACTAAAGGATTATGAAACCTACTGGTCTCTTGATACAATCTTCTCAGCATTGCAGTGTGAACCAGAGGAACGATCACCAACGCTGCTTTAGTCTCTTCCACGTGATTGGCTCAGCTGCACGCAGTCAGACCGGATGGAGCCGTTCAAAACACAGGTTTATTTCTAAATTAGTAAATATATATATTTGTACGCACGCCGGATTGTTGAGGGGATTCCGCTGATCTATAATAGAGGGATTTAATGTATTTTTTGCATAAAGAGCAAATGCAACTTGTAGTCACTGCGGTCTTCCCACGCGCTAATAAGGCTACCAGTGACGTAACGCCTGAGAGGCAGTGACTTCCCATTGAAACGGCGTTAAACCAGCAGCACAAAAAGTAACCCTAACTTTCCGTGACTGAAAATGAATAAACTTGTATAGACAAATATGTGACGTGTTTAAAGTAGTTTACTGGAGCTAAACACGTGAAAGTTAGAGAATGAACGAACGCCACTAAAAGTTGTCCTCGGCGGCGTTCGGAACTTGCTCACCACCTCGACGTCTAGCGAAGCCGAGTGGCTCAACGCGGCTAACGTCACCTGGATAACCGGGTCGGTCGCATCTCCGTGGACTCGTCGTGCCACCGTCTCGGCGTTAACGTGGTCGGTTGCGTGGCAGCGGTGCTGTCGAGCGGAACGTGTACAAGTGACAGCCGGCGCCGTGTCGTTACTTTGGCGGACAGCATCATGATCGCTAGCTAGCTAGCTTAGCTAGCCGGGCGTTAGCTTTAGCAAAAACAAGCGCTCTTGTTCTCTGAAGTCAGCTGACCGGCTGCCGCGAGCTGCCAGCAGACCAGTGATGGATCAACTGAAAGTAAAGGACCGCATATTGGAAAACATCTCCTTATCCGTCAAAAAGGTAAGTGTTGTCCCGTTGGTCCGCGCGCTTAGACGTTGTCACGCAATATAAGTGTTTTCACGTGATGTCTTGAAGCTAGCGATCGGTCATCTTTTGTCCGCCAAAGAGGGCAACTTTCAACCCGGCGGGACGTGACCAGCTGGGTGGGCCTTTCCCTTACTCACGGGATCAAATCACATGTCGACTGTTCTTTACGTTTCCTTAATTGTTCTATTGTGTTGTGGCTTCAGTTTCTCTTGTTGAGCTACGTGTACAGAACTGGTCTTGTTTGCCCACTGCAACATGCGTCGTAAACACGCCTGCAGCTAATAGATCAGGACACACATTCGTAACGCAGTAGATTTCTGCTCCTAATTTACATTAGTCGTGCAACCATTTCTTTTAGACCAATTGTGCCTGATGTGGTTGTGAGACTCTCGCGACTTGACAGACAACGTTGCACCCTCTTATCTGGACTTTCTGCACGCTCATACATTCACTTTCCAAGAACTCATGCAGTTTTTTCGTCATCTGTTTCAGTGATTTCCCATTAGTAGCCCACCAGTCCCACATGCATGCAGTCAAGCCTCCCTTCTATTGTAAAGGCTGCACAAAGAGCATGGCAGTGCATATGAAAATGTATTCCTCTGGGTTCCAAGAACGAGTACAGTGTTTACCTCATTCAAGCACTGCTGAGTCATGTCAGAAGATACCGCTCTTTACAATCCACTGTGCGGAAGCACCAAAGATAATGAGATGACTTCATCATCTGGTTTAAAAATTCCTTACAGCCGAAAATTACCTAACATACTTTATTTTTTCATACAGCGAACTTATTTGTTAAACTGAAATAGCTTCATAAGTGTAGCTTTAAAGGTCTGTCCTTTTTGTCATAGCTTTTTCCCAATACAATCAGATTTTGATAAAAATGGGCGATTTTTGTAGCTCAACCGTGAGCTTTTGAAACGAGCCTCTAAACCAGCAGCGGAGAAACCGTGTCCCTCTGTAGTTGCAGAGTTACTTTGCCGCCTGCGAAGATGAGACTCCCGCCATCCGAAATCACGACCGGGTCCTCCAGCGCCTCTGTGAACACCTCGATCATGCTCTGCTTTATGGGTAAGAGACTTTCTGCCAGCAAACTGCACACTAGAAAGAGGAAAGGTGCATTATGCCGAATACAAGTAATAGATCAACATGTGGATACATCACAGTACGTTAATGCTCTATTTCTGTAAAAATGTACCTCTTGTGTCATCCCTCTTCTCCCAGCCTGCAGGACATCTCCTCGGGCTACTGGGTCCTGGTCCTTCACTTCACCAGGAGAGAGGCCGTCCGTCAGATCGATGAGCTTCAGCACATAGCAACCAACCTCGGTCGAAGTGAGACATTTCTCTCGCTCTCACTTTGTCAAACACACTCACATTCACAGTGTTAATTTGTGTGCATGTTTGTGGGGCATTTCAGAGGAAATAACTTCTCTTTTCTGTGTAGGCCGAGCGTGGTTGTACCTGGCATTGAGTGAGAGCTCGTTAGAGAGCTATCTGCGCCTCTTCCAGGAGAACCAGGCATTATTGCAAAAGTACTATTTCAAGTAAGTGATCCAGTTCCCCTGAGCTTTATTACCTAAAATATATTGATGGTATGTAACGGGTGGAAGTGGCATTTCAGGAACTACTTGCTGTGGTTTTCAGAAAACAAATCGAAAGATCTGAAGCGTGAAAACATTGGTTTTGTGGTGAGAGAAGTGAATGTCTGTCTTTTCCATGACGCTAACTGATGTTCCTCTCTGCTAGGAACGCACTGGTCTGCAGTCATGACCACCTCACGCTCTTCCTCACGCTGGTGTCCGGCCTGGAGTTCATTCGCTTTGATCTGGAGCTGGTTAGCATGCGCTTCATGACGACATCAATATACAAAGCCGCTCCGAAATCGATCGTAGCGTGTGTGTATGCGCGCGTGTGTGTGTAACGTTTCTTCTGGGTGTCGCTGGAACAGGATGTGCCGTATCTGGACGTGGCCCCCTACATGCCGGAATACTACAAACCCCAGAACCTGCTGGACTTTGAGGAGCGGCTGCCCAGCTCCGACAGCTTGTCCCTGCACTCCTTCACCTCCCTCACCTCCACCAACCTGGAGTGGGATGACAGCGCCATCGCCCCCTCCAGTGAAGGTAAGCAGGCGGGTGTGTCCCGATTTACTCTGGTTGGCGTCGGAGCCGTGATTAATGGTGGAAGCGCCCGCTGCTCTTTGCTGATAAGAGAGGAGAGATAACAGATTTGTTTCAGTCTGAGTTTAAAAAAACCCTCTTCAATCCTTTTTATTTACTGATAGTGATCTCCTATTATGTGCCTTGATACTGATCCACATTTTCAGCTCAGAACAGCTTTGTTTAAGCCCTTTGCTCCACTTATTCACCAGTGATTGTCTACTTTTAGAGGAGGGACACCTGGCTAGTTTAACTGGTTACATAATCATGCTTGCTTATACATCTGAATCATTCACCAGCCTTTGAATTAGCCGCATCACGTATGAGAAGAGTGAGACTTTTTTGTGCCACTAATCTGGACGCTTTAGGACCAATCGTGATAATAAATCAGCATTTATTTCAGGTTCATGTTCGGCTCGAGCCTCAACTACACACTCGTATGCAGTGGCACAGATTCAGGGAGTGATGCTGGTGGCAAGCTGGTGGCATGTTGAAGCAGAAGTTAAAATGATCCTCGCAGACTCCCGTGACTCAGGAATACCAAAGTTCATTCCGTCAAATGGGCCGTTTGGGGTCAAGAGGTCCTTGCGGTTACAGGATTTTGTCACCTAACGTTTTCCCCGTCACAAAGTAGTGAGTCAGATGTCCCGCTTTAGTTTCAGTTCCCACTTTGTTGAGTCTGTTATTTATATACCATACATCATGTTATTTTCTCTTCCATTGTAATCTCCTGTCTCCACTTCATCTCTCTAATATTAATATTGATATTGAATGTCATCCTTTTTGTTTTTTTAGATTATGATTTCGGTGACATCTTCCCTGTGTTGCGGTCATTGCCAAGTGCAGACTGGGAAGGTGGGACATTGGTCAACCCATCCCCTTCCTGCCATTTCATCCCTGCCTCCCTTCCTTCCTTCCTATCTCCCTTTGTCCCTCCTATGTGGCCCGGCCATCTCTCAGTTTGTGTGCAATGCATGCTGTGTACTCCCGTCAGTAATCAGACGTGTTGGTATGTAAAGTACAGCTGGCTGGTGCAACACACTGCTGGTCTGAGGACACGGAAAGGAGCACAATGAAAAGTGCTTCTAACGTCTGGTATGTTCAGCAAATGTACTGATGTGGCTGATATGACTTTGACCAGTCTACAACCTGGATTGGTTGTGGATTTGACTTGATATAGGATGCCGATGGCTTAATTCACATGCACTGACCTTTATGTTAACCTCCATTAAACATCGGGAATGATCAAACTGAAAACCTAAAGTATTTTGATAGCATTTTAATTTCTAGTAAAATGTGACAATCCACGTTGACTTTTGGTAAGGCTTTCCTCAAAGAGTTGGGTTTAATTATTGAACCAGAACACAAGGTGTCGTAGTGAACAATTGGAAAGGTAAGTTTAGGAAGAAGCACGGCTCCTCGGTTTGGGCGGGTTCATCCCTCCCGTTTCTGCACGTGTTACTCATCTTGGGAATGATCCGAATGCTTGCTCAGCCTTTTCATTTGCAAGATAACCGCTTGGTGTACAACCTGGTGCTCGCCTCGCTCGCTCTCGTCTCCATTACGCGGTGCTACCTGTTTGTCTGGTGCAGTGTTGTCTTTCCGTGTGATATGTGGCACTGGTCTATGTTCAGCTCAACCGTAGTGTGATCAAGAACCTCTGCTTAAGTACATAGATGGCAAATTCTTTAACATTATTACAGCATCGGCTTGCAGTACGCTTGTCGGCGTTTGTAGTTTGTATGACCACATAGCGAAAGCAGAGTCACTAAAATTTGAAAATGGATGCGGTTGTCTCTTCCACAGTGAGGTCAGTCCACTCAGGATGAATCAAACATGCTGATTCTTCTAAATGATGTCATCTAAATATGTGTTTAGTATGACGCCTCTATAAGTGCAGTGGTAAAGCATGACCTAGGCCTGTGCCATGAAAAAAAAGCTGCTACTTGATGTCCTGTGCATTGTGTTTTGTCCCTTTCTGCCCCTGCCTAAGAACTACAAAGGACACTGCAGCCGCTAACATTTGTTTGTGTGCGATGCTGATGAAGAAATACACAGTTTTTGTGAAACTGTCTCGTTGGCCAGCTTTCTATTGCTACATGAAGGAAAAATAACCTTTTCTGACTGCGTATTGCTAGAAAGTACTTAAAACTACTACCTAAAAACTTTTAGATTTGTAAATCGATCAATCGACTTACCAGCGAGACGGTGGCTGCAAGAATTCCCTGTAACTCTTCTGCACATTTCGGACTGAATACGGGAGACTGCTATTTGAACCCTCGATGTAACTTTCCATGTTAGAGGGCGACCTGACCGACCAGGCCAGCTGCCCGCGATCCAGTGGCTCCGATCCCCAGACGGTGGTCAGCGACACAGCGCTCCTTCCCGCCGGTGCTGTCCAGGCGAGGGCTGCAGCTCCTCTGGCTCCGCACAGCCCAACGCACAGACACAACCCCTTCAACGAGGACTCGGACACCAACACCTCCGCCGACGTCACGCCCGTTCACCTGGCCAGCTGCTACAGCGCAGAGAGCGCCTGCAACGAGCTGGAGGTCATCAGGTAACCTGCGACCGGCTCGCCTTGCGTCAGTTGTTGTAATTGGAACCGCGGCTAACCCCTCTGGTCGTCTAGGATGGCCCGGCGACGGAGAACCTCGAAGAAGCGACGTGGGAAAGGCTCCACGGATTCCATCAGCAGCCTCCATAACTCGGTCTCCTCCGAGCACTTGGAGACGGACAACAGGCGGATGTCTTCGGAGGACGTGGACTCGCTAAACGGCGCCGTAATTCAGCCGGACGCAGAGGGCGAGCTGGGGAGAAGCCGGGTGGGATCAGAGGTCGTGGAGGAAGGAGAGGAGGAGGAGGAGGGGGCAGAAGGCCTCCTGAGGCTCCCGGAGATGACGGACACCTCCATGGAGGCTGTGGGCCAGCCGCTGCGCGAGGTCATGGACCGGCTCAACGGGGCTCTGGAGATTGAGGAGGTCTGGGAGCGCCGAGGGGAGGGGGAGAAAAGGGGGTCAGATTGTAACCGGGGTCCCGAGCCCCCTACGCGGCAACCCTTTCGGGAGGAGTCCGAGGGAGAGCCTCCCGACCCGGCAGCGGGAGAGACCTCCGTCTTCCTGCAGGCCGCTGCTGAGCCTGCAGAGTTACGCTGCTTTACCCCCAACAGTTCGGACTCTCCTCCCTCAGGTGGTCGCTACGATGACCCTACAGAGCATAGCCGGTCGCAAACTCTTTCAGGCGGTCTCGAAGATGAAGGAGACGCAGAAGCGTCAGCAGGACAGAAGGCCGAGATGAAGGCCGGCGAGGTGGACGCGGAGGAAGGAGAGAAAACTGTCCACAATGAATTTACTGAGGAAGCGGAGCGTTCTCACCCTGCAGAGTTTAAGTAAGGAGTTGTGAGGGAAAACACACACACACTTATAGTTGTGTGTGTTTAATGTGGGTTTAATGTTTGTCTTCATTCTCATCTCATTTTCAGGGTGGACAACAATCACCTGCTTCTTCTCATGATTCACGTATTCAGAGAGAACGAGGAGCAGCTCTTCAAGGTGAAGACCGACCGACTTGTTTTTTGGGGAGGTTTTATTTAAAAAAAACATCCTTCGGTCTATGTGAATATTTGAAATGTACATATTAACATTTGGAGAAGTAAGGCAGCACAATGCCGTGGTCTTTTGTTCTTATTCTCTTACCAGGCCTGTTTTCAATCTTTGACAGGACAGAAGTGGTTTTGGAGACTGTTGCTTAGTGGTGTGTTGAAAGACTCTTGTTTGCCAATTTCCTTGTAACTGCTTTTACTCAGGTTCTAGGGATATAGCGGTCTGGTTTAAAAATCCCCACTTTTATCATGCATAAAGAAAGAAAAATGTAGATGTATTACAATTTGCCATTCGCTTAATTGCCTGAATAATTCCAAATGAATTAAGAGTTCACTAGTCTGTAATAATTGATGAGCAACACAGATGAATTGTGGATGTTTGCCTGTGTGTTTTCAGATGGTGAGGATGAGCACGGGTCACATGGAGGGGGACCTGCAGCCCCTCTACCTGCTGCTGACTGACTGTTACATCTACCTGCTTAGGAAAGGTAAGTGCGTGAATGGCCAGCATGTACGAATGAGAGTTTCTTCAGGTGTTCTTTAGGCAGAAACTGCTCCAGGTTGTGCTCGGCACACGTATTGGTTGTAATTACGTTTTCCCTCCACAGGTGCAGCAGAGAAACCGTACACAGTGGAAGATGCCATTTCCTATAACGAGCTGGACTACCTTTCAGTAAGTGTCCTCTGCAAATGGATTTATCTGTTGTCCAACATGGGTCCGTGTCTAGAGCCACTGTTATTTACACACGGCTTGTCTTTTTTGCCTCATTGGATTCACATGCTGGGGGCTTTCTACAAGGATATGTAGTAGGCAGTCAGTGGGGGAAAAGTAGCCAGCTGATGACAGCCCACTCGTCTGTACACAAACACAACCATGGAGGGAATGTGGGGGCGGGGCTAAACAATGCATATTTCTCATATATTTCTGAAGCGTACGCTTGTAGTTGTCAAAGGTACATTCATAGTTATTTGCTACTTGTTAATTAAAACTGTTGTATTATATTCATCTTTTGTTCTAATATATTTGCTATCTAGCAAGCTATCCTGTGATTATGGAAAAGCTCTGCATGGTCCAAAATGTGGTCCATGTAGAGTTAATAACAATATATTTATGAGCTACGTAGACTATAGCCAGATGGGACAGCTGGCTGGTAGAACCATGTTCGTTCACCGTCTGATAGATCAGCTGCAATGCTTGTTTTTCTTTAGGTGGGCCTTGACCAACAGACAGTGGCGGTGGTTTGCACCAACAGACGGAGGAAATTTCTGTTGGACACCGCTGATGCCTCTCTGACTCTGTGAGTTGACCAATCTCTTCCTTCCTTTTTCCTCGAGCAGTGTGCAACCCGTTGTCCCCGTGCAAAGAGCCGGCATGCACACCTCCAAAATCACAACTTTACTCTATACATGTTTACGTGGTGCACTGTGATGCACACGCGGCACTTTGTTCAACTTATCTACTCTGCCCTTCTTCACTTGCAGGTGGTTCCTGTCTGTCCTCGAGTCGGCCATGGTGAAGGGCTGTCGGGAGCCTCCTTACCCCTCTGTGCTGACTGACGCTACCATGGAGAAACTGTCCCTCACCAAGTTCGTCTCCCAGGAGTCTCAGTGTGAGGTACAGACACGATAAACTTCTCACACGCCGTATCGGCTCGTTCTTACAGGTCTGCTCTTTGAAAAAGAATGATACAAACATGTTACTCATCAAAGGGAAACTCACTGTTGTGATTTGTGACACAAGTAATCTCAAATCAAAGCTAGTGTGTGGCAGACTATAACACTCTATTACTCTCTATTTCTATATATCACGGGTGGGTAAAAATCCATATCAAATATGTAAAAATATTACTTTTTAAAATTGCATCACAACAATGATATGATAATGTCTTCCTCGAAGTTTAAAATATATCATTTACACTACTTTATTGTATTAAGTTTGGGGAGTCCCCTATGATAAGATTATTTTTTACTGTTAGGGTAAACTAACACTTTCTCGTTTCTCCAGGTGTGCGAAGTGTCTATCCAACTGTATTCACTGGTCCACTGGGAGGATCCTATGGACATGGCTTTGTCACCCCAGGGTGGCCCACCGATCTCGGGCCTGTCTGCCAGCACCAAGGAGGGGGCTCTGCAGTACCGGGCTGGAAGCACCTACCTGGGCAGAGAGGTGTGGAAAAGCTGCTACCTCGTTCTCAGGTAGTTACAGGTCACGCACGCACGCCACCATCCCACTCCGCTCCGATCAATATGTTCATTGAGGTTGACCGGGTTCCATCATCCTGTTACTTACTGTCTACTACTGTCTTTTTTATTGTATACCAACCACGTGTGTTCTGATTCAGATTGATTGATTAGGTGAATATCATCTTTTCTTGCAGTAAGGGGATCCTGTACCTGTATGCAGAACGAACCGACGTGACCCCTGTGCTGTCAGTCACCATGGGGTGAGCTTCAACCGGCTGACGTTTTGACCCGTCATTGCAGGACATTGCGGGATGTTGATGTGTTTTCATGCCCGACAGAGGAGGGCACTGTGGCGGTTGCCGTCGCTCAAACAGCACAGAGCGTCCGCACGCCTTCCACGTCATCCTGACGGAGCGGCCGGCCCTGGAGCTTTGCGCCAACAATGAGCAGGACATGGCCGAGTGGATGCTGCTGCTCTGCCAGTCCGTCTCCAAAGGGGTAACGAGTTACATGCCGCCTACTCACAGGCTTTTGTCCGTCTGCTCATTAGTACACCAGTTGGTTTATGATCAATCCTCAATGAGCATTTCTACCCACCGGCCTTAACTTACGTCAAACCTTTTTAATACTACATTCATTATAAAGGTCTGATTGACATAATAGCCACTATTCTTGCAGGTCATCCCTCAGGGTGTGGCCCCCGCTCCGTGTATCCCGTGTTGCCTGGTGATGACGGACAGGAAGCTGCTTACCTGCCATCAGGACTGTCAGACCAGCTTCTTCCGTTCGCTCGGCAGCGCCGATATCTGTGATGTCACTTCCGTCAGCGTGGAGGCCAACAAGGAGTATTGTGTCATTGTGAGTGGCCATTTCATAACCTCTCTTGGTGTTGTTCCAATGTATGGCTTTATGTTAGACTTAAACTAGTTGATTTATGTTATATGAGATATATATATATATATATATGATATCAAAACGCTTTTATATATGTATGTATTGACTATCAAGTTGTTATTAAGTTCCCTTGTGTTTGCAGGAACATGCTTTTGATTACAGATGCATTACATCAAATATATATATATATATCATCTATTTTATGATTTATTACAGAATTGTTCTCCACTGAATGTCAAATGGGAGGATTTTAGAAAGATTACTCGCCCGATCCAGATCAAAGTATTCTGGATAATCCTCTTGTCTTGACAAAGATGTTTGATCATGTACCCGTTTCTCCGTAATATGATATTTCCAGTCTGAAATGGGCTTCATAACCTTATAAGACATCCGTCAAACAAACTGCTGACTCTGGTATGAAATAGCTTTCAGATAAAAGGAGATCAAGAATACGACCTGTTGGGCCTCATGTTTAATTCATCTCTAGTTAAACTTTGTCATAAAAGGGCCTTCCTCCACATCATTATATTTTGTAACAAGTAAATCGAGACGTATAATTGGTATTAATCGACGGCCTTGCTTGCAACCATGAGAACAGTATGACATTACTGAATTGACATTGTCTGTTAGTTACATGTAGAGCAGCTTTAGTTTTACCTACAGTATGTCCTTATTGTATTGACGGCACAGGAGGTGCTTGAGTTCTTACAGCCTTAGCAAAATGTTTGTTGGATCTAAAGGCGTTAACATTGAACAGTAGTCCTGGTGTAATTGTCCCACGTGCCCCTCTGTAGGAGTTTGCAACGGATCGGTCCCAGTTCCTCCCCCCATGGGTGTTGTACTTCAGCGGCTGTGGAGAGCGAGATCGACTGCTGAAGGCGTTGGACGACACGTGGAAGGCCGTTTACCAGGTGGGAGGATAATCACACCAGTCTCTATTGCGGTTGAATAATATTGCGATATTTGGCAACCCAGAGATCTTCGCATTCCACGTATTCATTAAATGCTGCCAATGTCAAACCCGTGTTTATGTCCTCACTATACACAGGTGGATCTTCCCCACAGAGAAGTGTTGGACGTGTCCGTGCAGAAGCGCTGTGGGGAGGCCCTCGCCCTGATGACTAGCGCTTGGCAGAGGGCGGACAGTCTGGCCCGGGGCAGAGCCCAGCGTGAGCCCTGGTGCTGACAGACACGCACAGACACACACACACGCGTACACTAAGCTGTGGTTGGCCAATAGGAGGGACTATTGGGTAAACAGTCTTCTATGGCTCCAGGATACGCAGAGTAACTTCAGTCGGTGGGGCTGTAAACTGAGCTGAAAATCAGACGAGGTTAGTGGTTCGATGCACTACAGCACAAGCATGTGAAGCTCCTCTGATTCACTGATGAAATGTTTCTATCAGAGAAGCATCCGGCAGAATCGGTAATGCATACGGCACAGCGCAACAGCAAGATATTCTGGCTTCAAGTGATATAAATCAATATTTAACAGACAATAGAGATTTGCATTAGATTCTAATGACACATTGGAATTATTCCTTTTAGAGAGCTTCTTAAGAAACAGCAGAGATGCAGAACAGATATGCTGAATCAAGGAAAAGGTTGAGGTCAGATGAAATGACTCCTTCTTGTTCTGTGCCATCCGTGTAGATAAAGCCCTGTAGGAAATGCAAAGACTTTGACGCCCGCCACCATTACGATTCATTACATCCTGCTGAAATTGACTTTGGGAATTCTGCCAGCACAAAGTAAACCTTGACTTTGAGGCTTGAACGGGAAAAAACCCCACACATTTACTGCATTGAGGAAGCTAAGCGGCGGGGGAGGGGGGGGGACAAGGACCCGTAACCAGCAGCTTCCCTGCACAGTGACTTAGAAACAAACCAATCCGATGCACGTCAGGAGCAGTTGATGCCTGTGCGCTACGTGGAGGAAGTTCACCGTCCTTGCCTTGTACACACAGAAGTGATGCCCTCTAACCTGCACAAGCCAGACAACAGTGTGAAGATAAGCCACTCCTTAGTACCAGGTACTAAACCAGTACGGTTCTAGAATCTGTGTGCAGCATTAACACGTAGTCCTTGATGGTTATGGATGTGTCTGATATTCAGTTTAAGTGCACATACCTCTACACTACACAATATGAAGAATATTCGGTTCAGTTGCACTGTGAACAACATGCTCATTCTCCATCTGAGCACTGTCTTCACACGTTGAATGAAGACTTGCCTTGTATCTCCACCCAGTAGAGACGAGTGGAGGCTTCCATGCAGACTTGCACATTGTTTTTGCTGTTAGTCTTTTTTTTAATGGTAGCAGTTGTTTTAATATAACATGCTTTTTATGACCTCTGCAGAGAAAGTGGGAACAATCGTTACAAAATGATTTAGTTGAGTGAGTAACACGATGTGTTACACATACGGCCCCTTATTGTGGGCCAGCAAGGAGGAAGAATTACACTGAAGAGTCTGTTTCTGACAGACAAGTTCTCTTGTTTTTATTTTATTTTGCACCAGGGGTTGGTGGCACATTACGATACAGTAGTGGATCTCTCTACTTAATGAGAACATCCCTTCCTCCATGAGCAATGTAGTGGTGCCGGACCATGTCTGATGTTTATGGAATCCTTTAAGCTAGAATCTCCATTTTATTCTCTAAATAATTGCAGGTGGTTTTTTTGGATCAAACTTCGTAGTTGTCCCAATAGTGTCTGTAGTCATCTTCCTGGGATTTTCATCATAGTGCGCTCGCAGGAGCTGTCACCAGTGGGCCGTGCACGCTCAACACCACTGCGTTGTCTCGTAGTAGTTAATTACTCCCAAAAAATAGTGACTGCAGACCATCGTTTAAAGAGAACTATTTGAGATTATTACTTTAAACAGACATTTTTTTTCTGTTTTTAGCAGATTATTTTTAAATAGTAATATCTTTAGCTGTTTTTGGAAGCGGGATAGAAAGAGCCTAAACCACCCTTCAGTTTCCCTACGGTTCTCGGCAGCAGGAGGTTGTGCATGTGTTTCAATCGGTCGTTATCACCTGAGATCTGAGCGGAGATCAGCCGGGGATTTATTTTGCAGTGACAATGAAGCCTTTCTGTCAGCCTCGACTCAACCGGACGAAGCCTTTTACACATACGAGGCACTGTTTTTCCTCCTGGTGTTGACTTGGCAGACTGCGATGAAACAATCATCCTGGGTTTATGTTGGATGTTCTAGTTTCTTCTCTTTCCACTCGTCTGAGGCTAAACATGTGCTGTCTGTTGGGCTCGCTATCACTCGCAATACGGTTTCTGCGCTCAACGTTGAATGTTGGTGCAGAATGTTTGCTCGTTGTTATTTAATTAGATCATGCTGCGTTTTTCAGTTAATAAAAATAACCTATGTGTTGTGTCAAAGTTGATTCTATTAGTACAGTATGATACTGGTTTGTTTGTTTTTAAACGCCAAACGCTTCAAATGATACCCAGACCTATACATGTGTCACTTATTTATTGTGTCTCAATCACCGTGTGTTACACGTCAGCATTAATCTGTGCTTTAAGCCTTTCTAAGTGCCACTTGGTCTCTTCTATCTTTTTTTTTTTTAAACAAAGAAATCTATTCTCAGGTGAAAAGGGTCCGTCACATCCAAACCTTAAGACCCACCGTGTGTTATTTGTTTGAATGCTGCTGTTTTGTTTTTTTTGTTTTGTTTTTGATATTTTTGAGTCCCGTTTTCTATTTTGGTTTGATGCAGCATTATGAAATTATTTTGCGCACAGAGACACAGCTGAAAAATAATATTAGGTGTTGGAAAAGGTGTGTAGAAGTCCTTTAATAATCGAATGGGTTCTGAGGGGGAAAGTTGGGGGGTTGAAGTCGTCTTCAGGACTTTTGGACCAGGGAGAGCACACTTGCAATAGTTGGACTTACTTGAAATGTTTGTTGGGTTAACAACAAAGAATCACCTGCACAGAGTTGTGGCTTATGAACGTATATAAATACAGAATTCAAGCAAGTCTATTTGAGCAGTGTTTAGAATTTGTGACATTGCTGGCCAATGGTGGATAACATCGTCTGAGTAATGCATTGTGAAAAGAAGCGCTTTTTTGACTTTGTTCCTAACGGTATTACTGCATGTCCCCTATGTATCATGTTTTATTGAATTGTAAATACAGCACTAATCAAATATAAAAATATTGTACACTCACACAGGAAGATGTGCATTCCCAGAGGGTTTTACACTGTTCATAATGGTAATGAATGTACAAATAAACCGTTGTGATTGGACAGCCTAACTGAATAAACTGAAACAAAACCTCGGCTCCTGTGGTGATGCATGCGCTCTACGGACCAGTATACCTGCCTTTTAACATTCAGATATGTTTCTGTTGTAGGTAAGACCAGAGCGTTCAGAAACACAAGGACAGTCATGTTAGAGCAGGGACACGAGATTTACAGGTAAGAGAGCAGCTGTGTGGGAAGTAAACTGTTATTAGACAAACGAAATATGTGGTCACGTTGCACGCTGTCCTTCCTGCTTTAGTCAAAGGAGGGTTTTCACTATGAACACTGCGCACTGACTTCTTGTCAGATAAGCGTCGTGTCGTATTGCTGCATTCTTCATTAGAGCTGCAGTTCCTCACAGTCGCTAGTAGAGGTCGCACATGAACTTCCTCTTTAAACCCTTTGACATCAATCTGTTCGGTGCTTTGATTGTACGCATCCTTCAGGAAATGAAGCCTGGTTTCCATAGTTCGGATAAAGCTTCTTAGTTGCAGTTAAAGTTGATCAATCGTGGCTCGCGCAACACTGTGCAGTAACTCCACAGCACAAAGCCAGCCAAAGGAGATTTGTGTGAGGGAGAAGTCCTCATCATTTTGGGGCACCATTCAAACACCAAATGGTTAATATTTTAAAAAAAACCTCCACCAATCACGTTCTCTGCACACAACTTTACAGATGTGAAAGAGGAATATAGGGGAGTGTCCTTTACCTTAGTCCCTAGTTAAACCACTGGATCCCTTTCCACCATTCAACGGGATGTGTCTTGCATTAGATCCTTCCTGCCAAAATCTTTCAAACTAGAAACCGCCAAACGTGACCCCGATGACATCATGTGTAGAAAAGAAGAAAGAAGAAATAATAGAAAAGAAAAGAAATGAATAACTGAATTGCTATTTTATGTGACATTCATTACCCATGTTGGTATTTTTGTGTTTTGGTGACTTCATTTTAAGACAGCAGTATTTCAATCCCTTAAATCGTACTGCTGTGCTTCATTTCCTGTGCTCAGTTTTTCACCTTCTAATGCAATTTTAATACCTCACTCTCTTCTAGCCCTCCACTTTAACACATCCTCCCTCTCTCCCTTTTCCTCCCCCTCTTTATGTATCTCACGGGCTCTTCTCCTCCAGCTCTGTTTTGACCGCAGCGATGCAGCCCACTGAAAAGCAGCAGGGCTTTTGGAGAAATCCAATTATGTCTCCTATAGCGCTGATGCAGTTTGAGGCTGTTCAACAACAGCACCTCTGAATATCGGCCAACAGTATTTGAAGTCTTGTGCCTGTGATGACGTACCTCCGGTCAAATTAAGCTAAATGGGGGGTGAAGCTTCTCTTCTAGCGCTGGCAATTCTCAACCATTTAAATAAAAATGTGCAAAAAACGGCTTGTATGGATGAGGGAATACCCGTTCACATCAAAGAGCAGATTGCCCCCAAACACGCTATATCCTGCATAATGAGGGTGCTGCAGATCCTCTCATTGTCCGCCCCACACCGACTATTACATTATTTACGAAGTGGGAATGTGTGCCGTGCTGTAATGCTGTCAGCTGCTGCCTGCATGCTACGTCTATTACGGTAGTTATCGGTGGAGCCTGACGGATGCAGAGATAGAGAAGAGGGAGAGGACACGGGAGGCAGCCTGGTTTTCACCACATCAGAGGTGCAGTATCAGCCATGCTTTTCCCTTTTCTCTTAAGCACGCGTGTCATCTGAGGATGCTTTCCGTGATAATTGCAGGTTTCTTCCACAGTACCTTTTGCCATCCGTCTCATCATGTTGAGGAAGGGCTCAGAGCTGCTGAAGGGAGACCGAGAGGTCCTCCTGGATCTGGACTACGTGGCTGAAGCACAAAGCACGGGCGGCTATGGGAGCCTGCAGAACGGCAGCTACATCCCGGCTAGATGTGTACGCAGTATTTTACTTTTGTCCGATAATGTTTTGTGTCTCTTGTAGTAATCTTATAGATATATATGTTCTTTAAATGACTGCATATTTATAAAGCGGCCATAACACCTGCTTTACTCATACGGTCACTCCTCACTGACTTCTCTCCGATTTTGCAGTAAATCTGAAATTTCTAGTGGTACAATGTGGTACGAGGCACCGCACATTACTGGGATCAAAAATCTCTTGTTTTAGCAATGTGACTTGGCCTAATGACTGCAAAGTGGAGGCTTTTATGATACAGAGTAACGCCACAGGATCTCATTGGCTAAACCTCTTTCAGAGCTAATTAACTGTCATACAAGAAGAAATGACGTGCACATGTTAAGAGAACATAATCTGTTTTCGCCAGCAGTTCTGACTTGTTTCTGATTAGTCGATTCTGACAATAACTTGAGGTGTTTTGCATGCTTCTAGTTTGCAGCTGTTGACGAAGTGGGCGATGATGATGATCCCATGTACAGTCGCTGTAACGCAAGAAGCAACCAGCCAGTTCCACAGCTGGGGAATTACTTCAGAGATGGCCGAACCAAAATCGGTAAGCAGCGTCCGCAGCTTGCCTCGTGTTGCTGTTCAGCAGCTCACCGATGGATGACGGAGTCAGTCCTTCACTTAACCCGCTGGACCTTTTTTCTGTGGATCCGGGTCTAGACTTTGTACTGGTGTGGGAGATTCGCTCACGGAGAAAAAAGCGAGGGAAGACAAAGAGCCGGGGGAACGCTGAGGGGGCGGAAGCGGCGCCAGCGGAGGAGAACAACAGGTCTGAACGCAGGAAGGCACAGCTGGCACAGTGGAGGGAGAAGTTCGTCCAGAATTTGGAGAGTGCTGGATTGCTCATGGAAAAGGTACCGCCAATCAGATTGTAGATCACGAACTTATTAGAACGTCTTCGTAAGGCTAAAGTTCTTTTAAGGGCCTCATGTGGCCTCTCTTCCCTTCAGGAGGAAACAGCCAATGAAAAGAAAACGATTCACTTTCTGAAACTTAGCGCTCCTTGGGAGGTGTTGCTGTATTACGCGGAGGAACTCTGTCTGAGGGCTCCGTTGCAGGTCAGTGCGGCTGTTTATGGATTTTGTGATGTTTTATGAATGATACTCCGAGCCCATCAGGTGTGAGTCCAGCCTGAAATACCTCAACCGTGAGTTGGAACGACATTTAGATGCCCGTCCTTTGGCTTAATGATACACTGAACTATAATATGGTGAAATAAGCTCTTTCAATATGTGCATTATAAATTACTATACTAGAAATGTGTTGTTCTCAGACAATATACCCGTTCTTTAGTAACAGCCATGAGGCTTGGATTACGGATTTCGGGACGAAACGTGGTATAAACATTAGGCCTTTATGAAATATAGTCCTTCATCTTTTATACTGCTTTAGATCGTTAGAGGGTCGGGGGGGGCAGAGGTCAAACTTACTGCCCCAAACGGTTGATTTCAACATTCCTAACAAGCTCTAAGATTGCTCTCAGCAAAATATTGACTTTATTAAGAGAAGAAGCATAAATGTTCTTCATTCTCCATGTGTCTGACTTGCAGGCCCAGGCCAACCTGGACCTGAACACATCTGCTCTGGTTCTGAAGAGACTGTGCATACCTAACGTGATGATGGAGTCGGTGCCAAACAGGCCGCTGGACTACTACACATGTGCCTTTCGCAAGTCAAAGATGAACCGGTGTGTTCTAAGTAACAAAAAGAAATGGTAGGATCCGTTAAGATTAAGTTTGTCAATATATAAAAGTGTATATGTGTCTCTCTTTTATAGGTTCCTAGGCTGCAACGACCAACAGTCCTTCTTCACCAACGCACAGAGGCACCGTGTTGTGAGTAACAGGGCGTCCTCTGCAGCGCGTGTGCTCTGTGGCTCTCTCGTCAAATGAGCGTTCGCTGTGCCATTTCAGGTGTACGAGATTCTTGCCAGGACGGTGTACGGCAGAAGGAAGAGGGCTGAGGTTGGTGTGGACAGACTGGTAAACGAAGGCGTGTACACGGCAGCTTTCCCGCTGCACGAGGTCCGATATCATTTATTCCTTCTTTAATCGAATGAAAAGCTCGTGCTCTGTTCTTTCTCTAACCAAGTTATTCTTTTCTTTCTCCCAGGGTCCCTTTCAGCTTCCAAAGCACGAGATCCGTCCTGACGAGCTGAACCAGAGGCAGATTCTTTACCACTATTGGGCCCGCTGGTGGAAATGGTACAAGTACCAACCTCTGGACCACATCAGGGAGTACTTTGGAGAGAAGATTGCACTCTACTTTGCCTGGCTGGGTAAATATTGGTTTGTATTTAGACCCATTACCTTCAGTGCTTTGAAATGAATAGTTTGCAAAAGCTTTTCTGCAGCTTTCATTTGCATCTCATGGTGCTTATCAGCAGATAGCGTTTTTTAACTTGTCATTTTGAAAGGCTTCTATGAGGTATACGTACTTTCTTAACTCGGGATACGTGTTTGTGCATCCAACATATTATGAAATGAATAGTCCTCAACAATGTAACACACTGTACAACACATCGGTCTAGGCTACTCCTGCATGGTAGATGTATCTAGGAGGGATCCATCTAGTGCACATTTTACATCTTGGTATGAGGAGTGAAGTATGTTATACTAAAGTATATTCAAAAACGTTCATCTTTTGCATGGCTTGTCCGAGCGCTTCGTCAAGGATATTCAAGGCACCAAACAGCAACGTAATCGCACATGCCGGCATCAGCTGACGGAGCTTCGTGTCCCTGCAGGTTTCTACACAGCGTGGCTGCTGCCGGCGGCTGTGGTTGGAACCCTGGTGTTTGTGTCTGGAGTCCTGTCCATGGGTTCCAACGCGCCAGCGTGAGTCCACACACCTGCATCTGTAACTGCAGAACACAAGATGAATGAAAAGGAGCAATAGGCAGTTTATTTAGAATGTCACGCTAAATCTTAAATTGGAGTTCCACCAATTTTACAATATTATTTGTTTTGATATGTATGCTATTGTATTAGTATTGGTAGTATGAGTAGTACTGTATTAGTATTATACTACCAGTATATACAGTAGTGGAAATAACACAATAAATAACATATTCACATATTTTTTTATCATGTCACAGATAGACATTTCATTCGTTTCAGAAAAGTAAATGTAAATTGGCCTAAAAAATCTGCCAAAAATGAGTAATCTTAAAGTCTATTTACATGGAAATATTTAATGGATAACAGCAGGGGGCAGTGACTTCTAGCAGTCTTGTTCCTGCAGTGCGGTTTCCACGTTTGGTAACATTGCTGTAGTCCAGCTTCCCACTTCACACACAGACAAGAGATTCTTAAATGACGACTTAAATTGTGCAGAAATCTCTACTTACAGTCTTATGCGTTATCTAAAGCTGGCACAGATTTCAGTACAAACATACCACTCAAAGCATCAAAGCAAACCACCTAATTATTCAGTATGTTTTTGTTCCCAAATTCTTATTCATTATTCATCGACCTAGTGGACTCCACTCTACCTAAACAGCATCATGGAACACACCCTCAAGTGTGTTTGTACCCTAAGATTCCTTCAGCAGTGGATTGTGTTAACCATTCTCGTTCTATGGCACCCTGTTGGTTTCAGTAAAAGAAATAAAGAAAAAGAGTCAATAAGAAATCAATATCTCAGGAAAGAACACGACCCAAGGTCTCAGATTGATGAGGTTTATTGGTTCTTTGGTAGAGCCCCTGATTAATGTAGAATAGTCGGAGAGCAGTCCGTGGAAAGTAGCTGCAGTCACCTCATGCTGCATGATAATCACCATGTTAATAAGGAAGATCGACGCTTCTCAGTCCAGGCTTCACTTTTCAAGTTAATGTCTAGTAGGAATATGGAAAGCAGTCGTTGTTTGAATGTTGTAACTGATCTGTGTCTATGTGTCAACAGTAAAGACATCTGTAACAGCGAAGCTAGTTATCTGATGTGTCCTCTCTGTAATACATGCAAGGCCTGGAACATGTCTGACACATGCACCATGGCCAAGGTAACAAACATCTGCCACCTAACCTGTTTATACTCATTTTTCATTAAAATGCATAAATACTTTAATTGGATGTACTGTCTGCATTGCAGTTGGGCTACTTGTTTGACCACCCAGGCACAGTCCTCTTCAGCGTGTTCATGTCCTTCTGGGCCGTGACCTTCCTGGAGTACTGGAAGAGGAAGATGGCCACCCTGTCCCATCACTGGGACTGCATGGACTTCCATGAAGAAGAGGTCTCACAATCCTTCCTCTCTTACTTGCGTCCAGTATGAAATACGACACACGTCCACGGAACGTTTTACACAGAATTTATAATACATACATGTATTTGATCATTTTCTTCTGTTATGTCAATGGAGTTAGCGGCGTCACCTCTGGAGAATCTATTCAAGTCTGACCCATTGGCTCGCGGTGTTCCCTCAGGAGCGTCCTCGCCCAGAGTTTGCAGCCACGGCCCCGACTATGGAGCCAAACCCAGTGACTGGGGTGAAAGAGCCCTACTTTCCTGAGAAGACCAGGTTGTCCCGGATGTTCACTGGCTCCATGATCATTATTATGATGGTGAGACACAGTAGACAAAGCGTTTAGGCAGATGTTGTGCTTTTCCTTGTGAAATATATTGGCTTGTCGATAACACCAATCTCTAATCTGATGAACGCATTGTAGTTTGTTCCATTACTGCGGTTGATTACTCCGCTGGATTCGAGGAACACAATCTCTTATTGAGTCAATAATACAGTGAAGAACAGCAGCTCCTCTTGCGATCCTCAAGAGGGAGAGACTTCACATGTGTTTACTATTCCTGCAGTGTCTGTTAATGAATCCAGGTAATTTGCCCACAGGGCTCGATGTGATCTGATACGACATAAGCTAGTGTTTGACAATTCACCGGCACCTGGAAAAATCTGCCAAACATGCAGAGCGATGCAGTTTATAATGGCTGCGCCCCATTTGGTTGGTGATTGTATCATTTATAGCAGCAATCTCAGGAAGGAACTTTGATACACACTGATACACATGTACTGTTGTTTAAAAGTTCAGAATATCGCTTTTTTTTTACTTCCGCAAAATCCCCCAACTGTTGTATGTTCTCCACCCAATGTCCCTGCATCTCTCCACTCAGCTGTGTGTGGTGATGATTTTCCTGGTGACGGTGGTCATGTGCCGAGGTATCATCAGCCTGATGTTGTTCCGCACTGGGAGCCCCGTCCTGCGTACAGAGGTACACCACAGTTCCATCGGTGTGCATTTCATTTGTTCCGTTATGAATAGTGTTGCACTGAAAAGCAGTGCACACGTCTGTGTGTCTGTATATGAGATGTGCATACTTGACACTGGCACATGTGTGTGATCTCCTCTCCAGGCAGGGACCATAGCCAACGTCTCCAGCAGTGTTGTGAATCTGGGCCTCATTCTGTTGATGGGCCGAGTCTACACCGCATTAGCCGAGCAGCTCACTAAATGGGGTAAGAATCAATACTGCTCTCCAACAAGCAGAATGCTCTATATTTATATCAGCCTCTCACTGGAGCTCCACTAACTAAAGGGTGAGACTCGTCAAAGAGTCGATGATGGTTTGGATTTTATCCCAGCAGTTTAATATTAATAATAATGAATCATTTGTGTCGTACCTTTTATACAAGAAATGCAGTTCACAAATCCTTACAGGAAAGGGAAATACTCACAGAATGAACATTAAAACAGGCTTAGAATGCCATGATGTAAAATATGATAGAAAGTAAAACAAAATTAAATGAATTCTAACACATAGAGTGCATAATGATGAGATGAGGAATAAAACACACTGAATAATAAAAGGGATGTTAAGCTATTAATAAGATGAAACACATTTGTGCAGCATTCACACACATAAACACTGCAGCAACATTAGTCGTGGAGATTTGAATTCTCATTTTTTATATTTATTTTTAAGTGTTTTGTACAACAGATTAAGCAGTTACAAAGTATACATCCACACCAACAATATGGCGTCCACAGTTTTTCAAAATTAGGTAACTTTGTACAATTTAGGATTTAATTTTCTTTTCTTTAATGAAAGAAATTAATACATGATAATTTAATTTTCTATGCAAAAAACACAGCCAACAAATCTACCACCGGTTTTTATTAAAGCGAAATAATAATAATCATTTTAGCCACCTCAGTGACCCTTTTCTCTGGAGGTTGTGTATGCTGGGCACGCGCCAAAGTGGTCACTGTAAAATGTGATATCTCACAAGATACTGTAGCTGTTGAGTTTACAGCTACACACAACAAGAGTATAAAACGCGTGACGCATGAATAATCAACATTCCAGCGCCGTTGTTACAGCTGTACTATAAACACATTTCTTGTGTTTTGCTACTTAAATACAACGAGATTATAGCCGCTCCACAATGGCCACGCTAGATTATGGTCACTTTTGCAGCGTAAAGGATTCATTCCATGAGACTCAGTGGAAGAAGCTGAAGAGTCAATCAGAATGGGTCCAAGTCAAGAACTGAGCTCGGCTGACGTGTCGATTTCACTGCATTGGACATTTTTGAGCATAATTCTAGTTTATTTCTTAGTTCTCGTGGTGTTGTTGTTGTTCTCGTGGTGTTGTCCCTTGTTTCTATAAGTTAAATGGCAGCACAGTTTTTACACTTAAGCAAGGACATTAAGTTCGTTTTTGTCTCGTGTCCATGTCCTCTCTGTTGCAGAGATGCACAGAACACAAACCCAGTACGACAATGCCTTCATCTTCAAGGTGTTCATCTTCCAGTTTGTCAACTTCTACTCGTCCCCCTTCTATGTGGCTTTCTTCAAAGGAAGGTTAGACAAGTCCGTCTCAACAGACACACACAGGGTGTTGACTAATGAAGAACAGATTTGGACTTTCCTTCCTCTCTTTGTGCGCAGGTTTGTGGGTTACCCCAGCAACTATGGCACCTTGTTTGGGATGAGAAATGAAGATGTGAGTCTATCATTTTCTAGTGAATTTGAAATGGAAGTATTTTCTTTGATGTGAGAACATTTTTCTATCTCTCTGTGTGTCTTCACTCTTTTTTGCAGTGTGGTCCTGGCGGTTGCCTCATTGAACTGGCTGAGCAGCTCTTCATTATTATGGTGGGGAAGCAAGTCATCAACAACATTCAGGAGTTCGTTATCCCGTAAGTTTCCCATCCGTAAAAAATACCTTAATAGAATATATTTTCAGGAATACAATGTGTTGTATTGAAATGAGCGCAACAAGGTATTCTAGTGTAAAAAGGCTGTATATCAAAAGCTGATATGTTAATTTTTTTTGAGGCGTTGCATCTCTTGCGTGCAGCTCTTTTTATTTAATGCAGTAAAGCTCATTGATATAACTCTGCAGCACAGACACACTTTGGTAAAACAAAGAGTAACCTGCAGTCAGTAAAGGCGATCAGTCAGCGAGGCTTGTTCTGCATGTCGGGTTAGTTGTTGTTTTTTTTATGTTGTAGCTGCGTCCCAATTCAAAATATAGTTTTGACCTATTGATGCCCCGAAGGCAAAGCTAAACCGAATGCCCTCCGAGTGGCAGCATCTGCTCTTGGTATCAGAGCAGCTGTTCCTAGTCATACTTTTTTGCTCTTATCTCGGACAGTTCCGCCACTGGGGAACGTTCTGTGTCAAACCGTAAAACGTCACCATAAAAGATTGTTTTTTATTTAGTGGGATCGAGCTAAAAGGGCCGTGTGGTTCAGGTGTTTTTCTCGTGTACGGATTGTTCTGAGGCTGATTTGTGCTGGCAGAAATGCCAAATTCTCAAAGCTGAAATTTAGCGGTTATCCATGTAAAGTATTTTTCCATTATTGTCTGTAACCAGGAGTTACAAAATGAAAAAGGCTACAGATAAAGACTTAAAATAGGCATTTTTAAACTTAAATAATATTCTTTAAAGATTTGCGTGACTATAAAAGGCATTTATTAACGTTATTGTCCTCCTCCAACAGTAAAGTGAAGGCCTGGCACCAGAAGAGGACTCTGGCCAAGGTGCTGGGGGAGAACGCGTCCCGTGAGCCTCGGCGCTGGGAGGAAGACTACAAGTTGGTGGAGTGTGAAGGCCTTTTTGAAGAGTACCTGGAAATGGGTGAGTATCAGCTGCTGTATCCTAAATCCATGATGTCTCTGCTCTTCTAATATTTATAAAACGAATCACAATTTTTTCTTTTACCTTTTTTACTTTTTACCTACGTAAAAAAAATAATAATGTAAGTGTGAATTGCCTCCTCATCTCTCTGCAGTGCTCCAGTTTGGGTTCATCACCATCTTCGTGGCAGCGTTCCCGCTCGCTCCGCTCTTCGCCCTCCTCAACAACTGGGTGGAAATCCGTCTGGACGCGCACAAGTTTGCATGCGAGTACCGCCGGCCGGTGGCTGAGCGCGCCCAGAACATCGGCGTCTGGTTCAACATACTGGAGGCCCTGTCCCACCTGTCCGTCATCGCCAACGTGAGCGACATCGAAAATGGCCTCCACGCACCACCGGGCGCTGATCTCAAACGTGATGTTTTGTAATGTTTTGTTCTGCCGTCCGCAGGCTTTTCTCATAGCCTTCACATCCGACTTTTTACCTCGGCTGCTCTACCAGTACAAGTTTGACGATGGTCTTAATGGATATGTCAACTTCACGTTAGCTTACGCCCCACGGAACTACACTGAGAACCCCATGTGCAGGTAAACTAAATGCTGATAGTCTGAATGCACGTAGACCGAGAGTTTGACTTTCACATTTTGTTGTTTCACGTCTTTTTTGCAAAATTCCGAAGGAGTTTGAAAGCGGCAGTTTGATTTTAATCTAGTTAAAAGTGCAACACTTCAACCATTACACATTATTTTCTGCATTAACTGTTCATTTTGTATTTTTCTTAGATATAAAGCCTTCAGAGACAACAATGGAGACTATTCTCTGTTCTACTGGGAGCTTCTTGGCGTCAGACTGGGTTTTATCATTGCTTTTGAGGTAAAGCAGGAGCTGCTTTGTCTCCATTTGATCATCTATTTCCTTCTACATGGTTCAGTGATTTGAATGCCCACAGATTCACATCCCCATCCCCTATTCAGTTGCATGCATTTCAGCCCCGTCCGTCTCTATTTGTCTTCCAAGCTGTGACCATCTGCGATGTGTTCAGCAATTCCTTTTTCTGACCCTCTTTGTTCTTTTTAGGAATTGCATTCCTGGTTTGGAGATTTGCAACAGCAGAGTTAACTTCATTTTTTTACATCTTTAAAACGTCCTCTCCTCCTGTTCATTTGATTTTGTTGTCATTAAGAAAAATGTAGTATTTTACTAATATTACATGTGATCACTGAAGAAATATGTCAGATTAAAGCAGTGGGGCAAGAAATTAAAAATCAATAAGTAGAGAACCAGGAGTAGCATTTTTTGCTGTTATGCAATTCTTTGAATTCTGGCAATTGGTGAGAGGTAAAGTCTGCAAAAAATAAAGTAGAATGATGAGAGATCATTAGAAACGTCATGTGACTTAATTTCAGCATAAAGGAGTTAATTTTGAGGATCATTCGTTAGAGTTTTCAACTCAATATTGTGTCTGTTCAGCGGTTTGAGTTCTTAATCCAAGCAAAGGCCGCCTCTCAAAAAAGGGAGGTGGTGCTCAGCAAAACAGGCTGTATGGACACAGTGAGGCTAAAAGCTCCAGGGAAAACTTTTTGAAAAAGTTGTCCAAGCAAATATTTTGGAAAAAATATTAATCACAGCAAAGCAGGATGTTGCTTTCAACATATATATACATATATATATATATACATATATATATATATATATATATATATATATATATATATATTACCTTGTTTGAATTGCCTTTTTCTTCTATCTGACAAGGAGCATAACTGTCTTGCTGTCTGCACGTCTTCCCTCCCCCGGCAGCATGTGGTGTTCTTCGTGCTGCGAGCCATCGACTGGATCGTGCCCGATGTCCCAGAGTCACTCGAGCTGAAGATCAAGAGGGAGCGCTACTTGGCCAAGCAGGCGCTTGCCGAAAACCACGAGGCTCTGCTGGGGAGTCGAGGCCGAGGGCCCCCCCCTGCTGCCCCCGCTGCCACCGCGCGCACATCCAGCCCAGGTCAGTAGAGCGAGGGACACACACAATGCGGTGATGCACATGTTGCTTTTAAAAAGCTGTAACCTTAGTTTCGTCTTTGGAAATTTAGCACGAGAGCTAGTTTAGACTAAATCAGGTGTCCTCACCTGTTTTAATGAGGGGGGAGTACGAGATCTATTCGGTATGATATGACATGTAAATCAAATCATTATCAGTATGTAGTGTATAGTATGTCAGTCGTAGTGTGTGTATGTCAGTCGTCTCGTCTGCTTGAAGGTGATACCAGCCTTGAACAGAAGGGTGAGTCTTAAGGACCGATTATGAATAAATTAAATAATAAATTGTATATCATATTTTACAAATATTACAGGGTACATTCCATATTTCACAAACACAAATATTTATTCTTCTTCTGGTGATATTATTCTGAATCAAACTCACTTAAGTACATATTTCATTCATTCATTTGGCCCAGTTTATATCTAGCTACCATTTTTTTATAAGCTAAAGTTTTCAGATATCTGCATCTCAAGCTGCTGCAGATTTGCTGCCACACAAATACAGAGAAGTGAACAAGAATGTAGTTTTTGCTGTTTCTTTTCAGAAACAATGTCCTTATAATATAAAGATTTTTTTTATGAAAGTAAATTAGATATCCACAAAGGTCTGTTTTACCTCCATGATACCTCACCTAAATATCACAATTCATGTTTACATTTAGATGTTGATATTCTTCGTTAGTTGGTAACACAATACAGTACACCACCAGAGTTCACATCCAGCATTAAACCGGTCACTGTTATTTCACATAAATAAATTCCAGTTTTCAAAAGGCTTTTAAAAGCTCACCCAGCAGCGAACGCACCTCCACGCTGCGTTTGTAAAGCACCTTCGGCTTGACTTGCTGTTATAAACCTGCTGCACGTCACACAACGTGATCGTTAGAGGTAATCTGTGTGGGATAAGAGCCGAATGTGTCCGTGTCTGAATATGATTTCATCCATGGAGGCAGTGGGCTGTTGGCATATATTATAATGTTCTCTGTTAATGCTGCTCTTTTGCAGCGTTACATTCATGCAGGAAGTAAAAAGAGATTAGTACAACAGTGCAAACACATACTTTGTGGATCACATTTTGTTTGTGTAAAACACAGTCCTGCAGAGTGTATTTTCCTCCTTGTCTGTATATGTGTGTGTGTGTGTGTGTGTGTGTCCCTGAGCTCTGACCCATGTTGTTGTCATGTGTTTCATGTAGTGAATGTTGCTGGAGGAGAGCAGGTGAGTACCACACAACCCGTAAACAAGTGACATTCCCCACAAGGATCGATCAGATGAAAAGGAACTAAAGTGTCTTGCCTTCAAGTTACAATTCTACCAAACCTGGCAACCCACACAACACGATTTCGGAGCATGTACACAGTCAGTGTAAACGTGTAAACGTGCTTCACAATACTGATGGAGATTAAACGCGTTACTTGGTTGGCTCTGGCTGCTGTGCTTTCCCTCGTTGGCGTAGCGGTATGCCAATCTAACCACAGCTTCCTTCTTGACGTGAGAGTAACATCCTGCTTACATTTACATTCACAGAAGGATTCTACTGAACAGCTTTTCATCGCATATGGTTTCATTGACAGTTTTAAAGCATAATAAACGATAGCAGCTGCCAGCTGCAACATTAGTAGCAGGTTCCAACAAAACGTGTCAGATATTTCCTTCTTCATTCCTCTTACAGTAGTCAGTCTGAAAAAACTAATTCTCTGCTTTTCCTCTGCGCTCCCTCCCCATTCCTTCTGTGTCCAAACCCGACCGCACGTCCTCCCCTGAAGCCAGCGACGCGTCCTCTGGAAGCATGAGTTAGGACTGGTAGCGGGTGGTTTGAGGGATTCTTCTTCACATCTGGGACAGCATTGGTGAAGCTGAGTGGAATACGGCTCCTGCACTGGGATTCTGTTTGTCATTGTGTTCATTAATGTGCACGTCGCCACGCGGACTTTATGATGAGCAGAAACTCCTCTTTTCATCTGGAGACCACAAGTCCTCAACTCAAGTCTTATCTTAAGGCCTTCAGAAATGCATCTCCTCGTGAATCATACTGGGTGCTGACCGCACAGCAACCGATGCTTTGCCGGATCGCACTTGAAGGAATCAAAAACAAAATCTCCCAGAAAATGTGTTTTGTACAGTTTGTTGATGCACTCAGCCTAATTTCTTTTAAATCTGCATCCATCGCTTTTATTTTAATGTATTTTTTTTTTATCTTGGCAGGAATGATGCCTTAATATATGTATAAATGAGTATTGAATTAGTTTGGGGAAAAACTCAAAATGCAGCACAGTAATGGGCATAACATCTACCATAGTGAGCCACATCTATGCCAATAACTTAAGTATTATTAACTAAATTTGCAGCATGAATTGTTAATGCTATCAGTGTTCTGTTCTTTTTGTTCTAGTTACAAAGTCATACTGAATTAATTACTGAGTTTTGTCGTTATTTTGATGCTATATGGTTTTAATGACTTTAAAGGGTAATTCCACCCAAAAATGTTGTGTTTTCTGACCTCAAGTGGTGTAAGTTCTCATCTTGAAGCACTAATGCGTTGGTGTGAACTGTGACCTCACAGTTGGGTGTCCGAGTACACGCAGACACACCCGTCAGTGAGCTTCACTGGTTGTGGTCAGAGGGGAGACCCTCTCTACCGCTCCGTCTCAAACACACGCACACACATGAATGAAGCCTCTGGGTCCCGTTTGGCTAAATTGTACATCTTTGGCCTACATTTGGAGTTAACCATTGTGTTGAAATGATTGACCAACCGGTCGTTTTTCAGTTCATTTCCAAAAGGCGTTGATTGTGAGCTGATTATCTGATGTCCTCAATGGGATGGAGAGCATATTTAGACATCTACACTTGTTTGCAATGTATATACACATTGGATGCTGAGCATGCCCATCCTCTGTAACTCAACTCTGTGCAGAGTTTCGTACGGATGATTTCTGCGAGTTGCTGCTGTAAGATACGAAATATAGTATCAACATAGAACATATTTTCATGTGTGGGATGTTTGCCATTTAAACACTTTTGGACCAAAATAAACGTAGTTTGTTGAATGCATATTTCTCCTCAGCGTGGGATTTTGAAATGCTGTTGCTGTAATGTCAGCGTGCTATTGGGAGGAACTGTTTGTTCTCACGCCATTCTACCGTCACTGCTTCCTCTCTCCCAACAGAGGTGCATTGCAGACCGGTAAAGAGTACGCTGATTTATTAGGAGTCAGAGACAGACAGATGTTTGTTGATGATTTCTCTCTTCCTCTCCCTCCTCCCCTTTCAAGCTTAAACCAATGGCTGTGGCTTTAGGCAACTCTTGACTTTTATTTGATCTTCTCCACTTTCCTGCCCCCGTCCTTCTCCGCCGGCCTTTCACCACCAGTTCCCGCGCTCTCCTCCCTCTATCTCTTGTCGTGCTTATTATTTTATTACTTTTGGTGTAAGTACGCTCTCTCCCTCCCTCCCTTTCCGCCTCTCTTTGCCACATTCATATTCCGGTTGTGATGATTGCTGTGCGTTCCTCTGCCGTAGCCTGCAGGAAGAGTGAGTTAGTACTTGTCAGTAAGCACAGGTATGCACCGTGGACACCGGCTGCCTCATGGGCCGTGTGCTGCGGCGAGAAAGGAGACGCTCACGTGCACGGGCTGCAAAATACAGCTCCAAATCCGCCACAAGGTAATTGATGCAGCAAACAGCACGCTGAAACACGGCACGTCCAACGGCTTTCATTTGCATTTCTGATAAGGCTGAACCGTTCAGAATGTGGAGTATAATGCAGAATCATTATCATATAGTGATGAAAAGATTTTTGCAATACTAATGCGCAGCACATCCCAATATGTAGAGTAAAAGGCGTCATACAGAATGCAATGCAGTGTTACATCTGCATGCAGTAAGTTGGAAGAATCTCACATTGCATGATCAATTTATCAGGATACAATGTTTATAATTTATATATTTATTGTCACTTAAATATCGATAAGCAAAAACATTGTGGAAACCCTGAAAACGTTTCTAATCCAAAGGGATCCCAAATCCTCCCGAAATGTGTAACTTTTTTATCTTCAATTATGAGTGTTTCACCTCTTGAACTGGAAAATGTCAGGATGATCCCAGATGACACCTTTCATGTTATAAAATATGTATTAGTGCAGATTTACAGCTCCTGAGTTTAATAGTTGATTTGCTCAAGGATGCCGTAGCAGCTTTTTTTTCCTGCCACCAACTCAGATGGACTTTTAAGGAAAGTTGCATGAAAACACACACACACACACACACACACACACACACACACACACACACACACAGCCCGGGCATTTCAAGCGATGGATCTGCAAACAGTGATGTGTACGTGTGGAAAAACCTGCAAATGTACACTTTTGCATTGCATGGTAGTCTTATTACTTGTGACTGCAAAGCCCACTCACTCAAATAACAAAGAACATGAGCACATTCAAGGCTTTTGCTAAAAAAAAAAGTGCACATGCACATTTTACACACTCGCACAAGGACATTTTTCTCTCCAAGTCGGTCTGCTCCCTCCTGTCTGTGTCTCATGGCTTGCAGCAGGTGCTGAAATGAGACACTAAATAACTATTAGAGTTAGAGCAAGGGCGAGAGAGGGGGAGGAGAGAATGAGAGAGAAAATGAGAGAGCACTTCCCCAACAGTAGCAGGGAGAGAGGAAAAGGAGAGCGAGCGGAGGAGCTCAGAGGGGATCTGCATCGCAAGTGGCTGTTTTTTCAACCTGCTTTTGTTTTCAAAGATCCAGTGAACAACGAGGAGGAGGAGGAGGACCAAGCGGACGAGCACAGATTGGGAAAAGTCCAAGCTGAGCGTCTAAAGACCGAGAGAGGAGAAGAGGAGGGGGGCCAAGCCGGGAGGAACACAAGGCAGCAATGGATAGCAGCGGCTCTGCCTGACCCTTGTACGGCACGGATTCACACACGGCTGCTGGCTACGATCCAGCACACACACCAGGCTGCAATCACCAATGAGGTACTGTAACAGCAACAATAACTAACCAGGCGTAGACATTCATTCACCCTCCATTGTCCTTTTGCTCCCACGGAGACGGGAGATAGTTGAGCATTGTTTTCGTAGAGCTTGTCAGGTGTCTTTGCGTGAAATGACAGCTCTCAATGAAAAGGGAACGCAGTTTATTTTGATAGAATAGAGAAAACCGAGAAGGATTATTAGAACTGTTTGCGTTGCCGTCGTTTTGTTAACAAAAGCTGCTTTTTTTTTTTTAGCCTTTATGAACGTACTGGGTTCAAATGTGAGATCTGACACTTGATTTCCACACCAATGTAAGAGCAGCAAGTAAATGCAAACTGCTCGTTGGGCTGTTTGGGCCGGTCGTGCTCCCAGCAGCGGTGAGCCTTGGATGTGATGGTTACAGTGCAGCAATGAGTTGTTGCACAGCGGGGCAGGTAAGTGCATGTCTGGAGTATGTCGGATGAGGGGTTGTTAAGAACACTGTACAATGGCCGAAACTTCTCCTTCGTGGGACATTTTTGCAAAACACATAACTTCTGGTCACTGAGGAGCACACGTGGATCTTTGTGTGAATGCCCCCACTTTGCAAGGTGTGAATGTATCCGTGTACATATGTGCGTTTCTCAGAGGCAGCTCTTCCAGCCCGGCTCACTGTTTAGTTTGTTAGCTCATGTGCAGCCTCCGTCTGGTCTGAGTTATTGTTTACACGGCGTCCCGGGGAGGGGGGGGGGGGGGGGGGGGACAACAGCTCAGTGATGACATCCAGCCGCCAGGTCGCGATTTGTCATTCTGGGGAAGCCTCTCCCTTCTTCATACACATACACATGCATATGGCACATTACCGCCCTCCAGACCTTTGCCCCCAAACTTCTCCCAACCTACATCTGTGTGGGGGGGTGATGGCGTCCTTTTCCGTCTGCCGTCCCACTGACGAAGCGTGTTGTCATGTGAAATGTCTGCTCATGCAGCTGTTTGCATAGTCTGGAGGTGCATATTTTGGCTGGAGTGCAAAAAGATAGCTGTGGGTGTTTCCTGGATTATCGGATTAACTACGGTGTGCCCGGACTGGAACGCACCACCTGCACGGGACGTTGAACTGCGTCGGTGTAGCTTTTCTACGGGCGGGACATCCACTAAATCGCCGTCACATCGAGTGATGTCCCTTCCCTGTGGTGATATAACATCTGGGTGCTGTACATTTGCCTGCTCATATGACACACAGATTCATAGCTCACCGAGGGGCCCCTCCCTCTTCCCCCCCCCCCCCCCCCCCCCCCAAGAACTGCATGTCTGGAGAGCACCTGCCCCGTCACCTGCCCCTCAGACGGTGGCTGTCTGAGCGTGTGTGTACGTATACGCGTTCCAGGATGCCACACCTCAAACCTCCTTCTACCCCATTCCTCCCTCACCTCCCCCCGCATCGCAAACGCTCCTCAGCTCTTTGAGCTGTTTCCAGTCACGTGGACACGCTCGGCTGCCACCGGTCTCTGTCTTCCTTTAAACTAAAACCATTAGGCAGGAGAGCAACCTGCCCTTTAAACATCAGCTACACCAGTATGTTGAGGAGGCCCTGTTCACTTTCCAGTCTCTGTAGCTTGTGGCCCAAATGGCGGCAGACTTAATAGCCCATAATAGCAGCTCCCGCCTCTGTACGTGTACAGTCGAGCGGCTTTGTTTGTCTCCTGCCTCCATTTAGTGGTCCATTTCAGAGGAATGAGCTTGCCAAGTCATCCAGAGAATGTTGAAAAGTGTCTCCGTGGGTCAGAGGGTCTCATCTGGGGGTTGAGCCCCCTCTGAATTTGGAGATGAACTCGTCCTTAAACCTGGACCATTAAAGAGACCACCTACTGAGACGAGCCCTGTGCATTGGCTTAATAAATAATACATTAATGTGATGGCTTTGTAAAAGGGGGATTTCTTTCGTGTGACGAACAAAGAGCTGCAAATACCTGAAAGCACAAACCGTAACATACAGGAGTGCACAAGCTCTGTCTTTTATTATTTAATCAGCATAACAGAATATTTGGCCAGTGCATGAACGTTAACACAGAAAGAAACTTGAGCCCAGTGGCAACGTGTGCAGAAAGCTTGCAGCTGTGTTGCTGCACACCTGTCTAGCACTGTAGCCCTCGGGTTATTTCACAAGACGCTGGGGCTTTTGTGTTTGTGCTCCTGCAAGATAAGACCTTTCTGGCTCAGGAGGCGTTGCTTCCTCGCTAAAATGTTTTGTCAAATTGAATTTAAAAATGTCAAATTCAAATAAAAACACTTCTTCCGGGTTGTTTAGCTCTCATTCAATTCATCACTTTAATCCCGATGACACTGCTGAGATACACTGAGAGAATAGCTTTAGCGCTGCGCTCAAGCGGCATAGTTTCTGGATGGTCAGCTCGTTGGGTGTGTTCCACTTTTACCGGATCACATTTCAAAACAACAGGCAGCCCGGTGGATGGCTTGTCCATACCTGTCCAGACAATAAAAGTAAAAATTAGTGTGTGGGGGGGGGACTGCTGGTGCTCAATGGCTAGAAAACAAGAGAGGAAGAGAGTGCAAGTAGATGCAGGAGCAGATGAATGCAAGAGATGCTCAGCACGTTGTGGTAAAGTAGGTCAGCGAATGATGAGATTGTAATCTGAGCGCACCGATTGACCGTTTGAGTAAAGCAAAGGTAGCAGCCTCCTTTCCAGTGAATTCAAACCAGAAGAATTCAATATAACATACAACATATTCAAGAATGGCACATTTACCTCAAAAGTAATCGGATTGGTCAATCTACAAAAAAATGAATCAAAAGGAACTTTGAGAGAGGATTAAAGGAGTAGGCTTAACTTTTTGTCTTATAAACAGCTTGAACTAATAGAAAGTCCCACAAAAGGACTTAAACTAGTGACGCATCAGTCCGTTCCTTGATACTTTCCTACCTCGATCCGTAACCTGAAGTCCATTGGTCTTTTACACGTGTGCTACATGCCAACTATCTCCCTTGAATTCCTGAGCGTGTACGTTTTTGAACATGCTTAATTGAAGAAAAGGAGTAAAGGGTTTGGTGGGCTCTATCTTCAGCTTTTGGTGCTCTATTGAGTATCAACTATTTACAGCTGTACACAGTCTTTATAGGGACTTTGGTGAAAATGAACTGCGGAGTGGAGTGTGTTCCCGATAAGGAAGGAACGCAACAGTTTGGCTCAATGGTATGAATCATTTGTTGGATAACAGCACGGCTCTGCCTTGCCAGGGATTTGATTTTTGGTCCTTATACGGGAAGTATTAGGCACAAGAATATACAGAGAATAGCTAGACGTGCTTAAAGTTTATCCACCACGAGTTGCCAAAGGATGTACGGTTTGGACAAAATCCTTTTGGAAAACGTCAGGCTCCGGAGCACTGAATCTTTTACCATTTATTACATTTTATGAACAATAAACAATTGATAAAATTATTTATTGATACCCATATCCACAAATTATGAACATATCCATTAGTTTCTGCCCCTTTGTCCCATTGCTTACTGGCATATTACTTTTACTCCATAGTAAGATATCTGTTATTATATATTTCATTTTTTTAAAATATCAAATGGTTGTTGAACTACGAGTAAGAATCCCTTTTTTGATGATCTTGTTTTTTAAGTAAAAATACAATACTGTTTGCTTACAATGAAGCAAGATTTGTTGTAGTTAATTTCATCTTATGTCCGTGTAACTTGACAAAACGTCCTAAATCAGAACTTCTATTCATAGAATGTCATGGCATCGAGATTACCATCATCTGTCAGAAGGCACTGATTATGAGATTTTGTGGATTCACTGCGCGTTGGATCCTCTGCCCTCCATCGACTCGGTAGCTTTGGCGTCTTATGACAAAGAACCATAATTACACCAGGTTATTTCCACTAGATTGTCAATAGCTCCTTTGTGTCTTTTCTCTCTTTGGCTGTGTGTCTCCTGTTTGTCCGCTTCTCTGGCTGCAGCCGTTATGGTGGCAGAGTGAAGCGGGGGGGGGGCGGGGAAGCGGGGGGGGGAGGTCAAAGGTCCAAAGGTCCCGCCGTGTACGTGTGATATGGTCACTGCTTTTTTCCAGGCTCTTCAACGAGAGTTCGCTGCTTGTCTGTTTTGCGAGGGCGGGAATCGCACCGGTTGAGACAAGGTCAGGGGAGGCCTCTCGACATCTTTGTCGCGCCTTCAATCAAAAATAAATTGCCTCTCAAACACACATCGGCGTTCAGGTGTGTGTGTGTGTGTGTGTGTGTGTGTGTGTGATTGTAAGCCAGGTTGTCAGTACGCATCTTCATAGTGTCTCGGAGGGTCGTGGGTAAATTGCCCGAGGGCGTGGAGGCGGATTAGGAGGACCCGCACCGCGTGTAAACATTGGGCTACCCCCGCCCTCCTCCACCCTCCTCCTCTGTAGCCTCCGGGTTGCTCACCTGTCTCAGTGGGTGGAGGCCAAAAGAGCAACGAATGCCAAGAAACCCCCCGACCTGAATTCACTCAACCATTCTCACACCGTTCAGGCGTCTGGACTTTCAAAGAAGAAGCAGCTTAGTGCGTCACCTCCACATCTGGTTCTCCCATTGGAATTGGAATTTGAGCTTGTTTTGATTGATTCATTTAGCCCATTAAAATACCAACAAGACACATCCTGGCTTCCCATCCTGGTGTTTCAGGTAGATATTTAAGATGCTGTACCGGGATACAAATTTAAATAATGTGCATTGCCAACAGCTGTGTCAAGGCAGATCTCCCGGCAACTATCAATCTTCTACTCTTAGTAGGAGACGAGTTTCAAAATATGTCAAAGCAAAAACAAGCATAAAAACATGTTGCATATTGTCTGAATTTGACCAACACGTTACCAGTTGACCTTAATTGTTTTTACGTCAACGTGTCATTATTGGCAGCAATATAATTATATGGAGAATCACCAGACAAGATGGCAAAAAGCAGTCAACACAATAATGACATTGCACAGTGCAAACCTTTTGAATCGTTTTAGTAATTCAAGTGAAAAGGTTGAAGAAACAAAGGCTCGTCTTGTTGGCAAGTCTCATCACCATCACAGTATTGATATAAGTGACGCTGAATGATGTCATGTCTTCTCTGGCCAGACAACGCCGGGCTCTTTAGTTTGCTGCTTGGCAATTAGTGGTCTGATGTGACCGAGTTAAACTGCGATCTCACACACACACATCGGCCGCTCGCACCACACTGTCAGGACACTCCAGTCTGTCTGACCAAACACACCAGACACCGGTTCATGGGGAGAAGCTGTGAGACACGGAGACACAGCAGAGACTATGAAGTTTGCACGGCTAAACTGCACAACAGTTCAATGTATCCTCCATCAGGATTTTCAGTAAACTTCCTTCAGTGACCAGAATGTAGGCCTGCTGCAACAACACAGCAGAGTGCCCTCTAATTTAATAAAGTGTCTTGTGATGTTGGTTTCACTTCATATATCTGGGGCTGATAAAACATTTATGTAAGCTGAGACGAGGGGTCAGTTTGTTTTGTTTTGCTTTAACCGGAATGGTCAAAGCAAAGCAATGCAAATGGTTTGGCCCACAAGTTATAAGAATCAGTACACTTAACATCCGCGATATTAGAAAAATAAATAAATCAAAGATTGATTGGCTGAGTCTGGAAACATGTTACTTTGTCCACACAAAATAACTGCTTTGGCATTTGTTGTTGACTTCACATTGAGGATTTTTAGTCTTGACCTGTTTTGCATCCGGGTTCACTTCTTTGTTGCAGACATTGATATTTGAACAGCTGAGAAGGAAGTCTGCAGGTGTAAAATGTCTGTGACTAGCACACAAGAGAATGGAATCTCTGTCCTTGCAAATCGGACAACCTTAGTTTTGGGCTGGTACACCTACTAAGAATCTACGTATATAGATATGTATCCAAACTAAAAGCTGCCTCATCAGATCTGAATGTCAGTTTGTGTAGAGTTAGCGCCAAGGTGCGACATCATGAGGGAGGAGACCGACTGTTAGCAAGCAGGCAGTTTCACCTCTTAAGGCTGCAGCGGAGTTTGTGTGCACCGTTTGACGTGATTTAACAATGAGTCTGGTGAGATTTGTGCATTTCTCTGTCTCATTAACTGAGCCAGAGAAATGCACAAATGTGTTTCCTACTGAATGACGTCCATTGATATATTGTCATCGTCTGTGCTGCCGCTTTAAGGCATCGCAGCCATCAATGCACTAACATTACCGATGTAAACGGTGTACAAATGCACTTCTTCGCTCCCACAAGCAGCTCCAACAGTGAATCTGTTTGTGTTATAGTCCGTATCTCCCCCATCGGCAAACATCAAACGCATTTTAAATATGCGATTACACAGAATTTGGCCTGGTCGTGAAGCTGAATCGGTAACTGATTTATGTTCACATTTATGTGCCGCACTCCATTAAAGGATTTTTCTGAGACCTTCAAGATGAAAAATATCACAATTAAAAATGCACCTTGTATAGCTGTCGGCGTGCCAGAGTGCCATTCATTAACTGCTGTATGCAGACATGGCGTCTTAGAGCAGCCTAGTGAAATTACAGGGGGAACCGCTGACAGCAAAGTCCATAACGGTCCCAAATAACACCCTGCTATGACAAGGGAAATTACCCGTCTTTGGAATTGAGGTTTTAATCGCGGGATATAATCGTATCGGCGCGAGGAATGTGCAGTACGTGTAATCGGATGCTTTGATGTTTTGATAAATGTGGTGGCGAGGCTTATTGTCAGTTTTGGGGATCATTGAGGTTTCTTTGGCAAATAAGCAGATTACTAATTTTCTTCAAATGGTATGTTGATTTATTACCACTTGGATGTGGGAGGAGGATTATCTCGCCATTCATTCATCAGGATTTAAAAGATAAAATGATCATTTGTGTTTCGAGAAAACACCTCATTGGATATAATCCACATTCATCCTGCAGTTTGGTTAACGCTGAATATCTCTGGCCGGATTACGGCATAACCAGCCGGTTATTACATCCAGGCCCCATTAAGATTGTGTCATTATGTTTACGGCTCAGTGGCTGCACTGAATGAGGGGATCAGTGGAAGGAGTTCCCACAATCTCTCAGGTGTCCTGTGCACAGGACGGCCTGGCCCAGGTTCACACATAAAGGCTGCCTTTGTCTGAAGGAGGGAACAGGTAACCATCTGTGCCTGCACTACAATGTGTGCATGAACCTCTGTTTGTGTGTGCGAACGTGCATGCGAACGCACGCGTGTGTGTGTGTGTGTGTGTGTACGGGAGCGTTAGTGAGAGTGAGTGCAGGAGGCAGCACTGATTGGGCCGCCTGCCGTTACCTGGAGAGCAGGTGTGGCTTTCCAACAGCCTCACAGTCACAGCACACGGCACCACACACGTGTGCTTATGGAAAGGTGGTAAACTATTGTCTGTTATCCACTTTGTGATTCCCCCGGCGAACCAACACCGACAGCCAGGAAAAGCACAGATTCATGCTATTATCCTCTGAGTCTAGATCTGAGGGCATCTATTAACATTCATTGAATCAAATGTTCATTACTTTATTCCATTAGTATCTCTTGCAAAGAGCCAGCTTATAATGAGCTTGTCTCATCCACATGAGTTAGTTCACCGCCATGTTTATTACACACACCAAACACTGGCTCTAGATAAGAGCCCTTTGTTTTCTCCGCTACCAGAAGGACTTCTGTGGCTCTTAAAATATAGTTACAAGGAAACTGAAGGCCTCATGAAGCCAAATGGCATCGAAATGTGCTACGTTACCACAGTCGTGGAAGGAGAGCAGCAGGAGGATCGCTATCTGGTTGTTGTAATCTGCAACCTCTATCGCTTGATGCCACCAAATCCTACACGACTGTACCTTTAAGAGAGACTCTGATGCCCACAATAAGTCAATAGCCAAGCCTTGGAACTTGCATTCCTTCCTGTAACGCTCAGGGTGCAGCTCTTGGAAAAAAAAGTTTGGTTATAAAGAAGTCAATGAGGAAATGACTTTCATTTAATATATTCATGTTTAGATTACACAATTAAAGTGTAATGTGATACTGGTTACTATAATAAGATGTATACTTATCTCATGAACATCTCCAGTGTCTCACAGGGGGAAACAAAAGAAGAGTTGTGTGACTTCTGTGGTATCTACTTAAATACAAGGAATGAATATTACATTCTTCCCTGAAATAAGGATTAAGGCAAATGTACTGTTTTATTGACACGCACAGCTAAGAGAAGAAACTATTTAAGAAGTGCCAAGAGAAAGAGACTATCCAGCCTACGTCGCTCTCAAAACAAAGCCACAAACTTCAGACTTATCAGCAAAAATAACAAATAATTCAACTTTACCCCTTTATCCATTTACCAAATGATATTACGGAGAACAGAGTCACCAAAAAGTCACCACCTCTCCTTAAAATGGTTGAATGATGACTTAATGTGACACGATGGCGTGCTTTTGTGCGTTTGCCAGGCAATGTACAAGTATCCAGGTAACACAAAGGAAATCATCTCTGAAAATGATTCTTCTAGTTGTGCTACGAAGGCTAAAGGCTTTGAATCAGGAGTTGAGGATTACCTGCTCAGGAAGCAGGAGAGTAAGAAGAGACGGAGACGTGTGTGTTTTAACGGCGTGTCAGCGGAGCCGGTGGATGAATGACCCGCCGCTGGGATTTAACAGAACCTCACTGGGAATATTCCACCGCAAAAGGTGCCTGCCAGCTAACGCACGCTGACAGGGAGGCAAACCAAGCGCCAGAGTGATGGACGGTCCCGGGTGAAAGGTGAGAGTGCTGAGGATGTGCTCTCTTCCTCTGTCTGAAGTGATATTCAGTGTGTGTGCGCGCGGATGTTAAGTACAGGGGCTGTGAGTGGAGAGGTCTTTAATTAGAGCAGGAAGACAGCGCTCAGGAGACACGCCGTACCGGACTTAATTGTGTGTGTGTGTGTGTGTGTGTGTGTGTGTGAGTCTGTCCATGCGGGTTTCGTGTGTGTGTGTGTGTGTGGCTGGGGAACATCCTGCACGCGTCAATAGTTTCATCCATCTTGCCATTTGTGTGTGTGTGTGTGTGTGTGTGCATTAAGACAACTTAAACGACACTGAATCGCAGAAATGTTCAAAACACGTTGTTCAATTAAACAACCGCGGGGTGTCTGAACACTTACACATTGCTGCCTGCTGTTCATAACAACGAAACATTCTGTGGTTGACAGTTAATTCGTGTTTGGGCAACAACCGTATTTTGTTGCCGAGTTTGTTTTTTCTCACCGTACGTCTTTTATTTGAATAGTTTCAATCATTCCAATCATGTTTTCCACACAAGCAGCTTAATAAGTGAAACGTATTTGGATTATTTACCTTTATTTACACATATTTATCCTAATGTCCTTTCTTGGTTCCAGACGAGACATTTTAAATCTATCCTTTTTTAATATGCTGATATTTAAAAGAAGGATTTGATTCTCTAAATTTGCATTGATATGAGGCCTTGTTAAAGTCATGATCATGATCGTGCATAATAGTGGCCCCACGTAAACAGACATATTAAACCGTTCTCTCCTCATTTGCAGCTCTCATGTGTTCGCTCAGCCATGCTTCCTGGCTATGGATTGTCACCTTTTCCTGATTTCCAGCCCCACCTTCACGCTTTTTGCTGCCGAGCAGAGAGTCCCAGCATGTGGATCCCCGGCTCAGGGGAGGCCCAGGCCCCGAGTGAGGCCCAGGAGGACCGGCCTCTCCTCCACCCGCGCCACCACAAGCATGTCGCTGTGTGCCAGCAGGAAACATTGGCTTTTATTGAGCTGCAAACGCCGGTGACCCCTAAACTGAACGGTCTTAGCTCGCCGAGGCCGACCGCTATTCCAGAGACACAATGCGCGACGCACTCGCCCCTGAACGGCTTCACGCGCACACTAAACGAACTGAACGACTGCCTCCGGAATGACAGCGAGGAGGGCACAGCCGTGAACTCGAACTCGCGTGCACCCGCGGGTGACCGTGAGCTCAAATGCCACAGCGGCGCGAGGACTCCTTCAGAGGAGCGGACGGAAAAACATCCTCACGCCGTCACGACCGTGTGTCGCCCTTTCCACGCCGCGCTCAGCCTCCCGCTGCCGTTCCCTCTGTCATCTCTCTATACCGACGGAGACTCCTGGGAGTCTCCGTTACCTTGCTCTCCATCCTCCCCCGAAGGTCCCGGGTTCCCCAGGCTGGACCCCTGCCGGCTGCAGCGGAGGACATCACAAGGATCAGTGAAAGAGAAGTCTATCCGTGAGTGTGCAGCTGCTTTCCCCCTGTGGACAAGGTTTATGTTACAGATCGGATCTGCTTCCCCTTAATCTCATATTACGTTATTTTCTTGTTTCCAGGGCGAAAGATGCAGGTTTACTCGCCCGACAGCCCGAGCGATGAATCTCTCAGCAGCCCAATCTTGGACCCAGACTACATCTTCCCCGGACCTTTTGCATCTTTCCTGGAGGAGGACCTCAGCGGGTTATCCTCCCTGGAGGCCGCTTCGTGGCCTTCGTCCACAGACGCTCTCACAGATCTCCCGAACCTCGGCCCCGATGATATTTTTGATCTGCCCGAGGAACCGCTGCACATAATAGAGGACTCAACGCCCCCCGTGGGGGGAGGCGGCGGGAGTGTAGAGACATCGGGTGCCACAGTGGGGAGCTTTTTGGCACGCAGCCGTCAGGGGGACCAAGAACGCCGGCGCTTCTCGGCTTCAGAGCTGATATCCAGACTGCAGCTCTCTCAGAGGAAGAGCTCGTTCTCCTTGAAGCTGGGCAAGTCGCTGTCTGCACGCGTGGCCTCCAGAGACAGACAGAGCTCCGGCAGCCCCAACGCTGACTGTGAGTAGAGAACGCAACGCAACACGCAAAAGACAAAGAATATTCACAATTCACCGGCCTTCTCTTTTAACAAGCAGGAGGAAGCAAAACTCAACTTAAAGTCAAAGGGTTAACAGCTTTGTTGTTTCTGCACAACACAGTTAAATAAAAAATATCCATTGACTTGTTTGCTGGATACTTTATTTAATAAATGAAAGAATTAATTTATTATTTGACTGGCACAAAATGTTATATATTCAGGTTTTGAATCTGTTGATCAAGCAAAACACACTAATAGAGATGATCTCACTTCAAATGAGATGGAATTGTAAACTTTTTATTTAATGATTGAAACAGTTATCAGCAGAATCATTCTAAATGAATGCTAATAGATCTAAAAAAAAGAGCGTGGAACATGTATTGTTACACCCAAAGACTAATGTAATTTACATGTTTGATAGCATAAGAAGAAGCGCAAACAGGTGGACTGTGGTGAAAACAACTGTAGCTGATCTAATAAAATAAAGTCTATTGCTTCTACCTCAACCTGCACAATGTGCTATTTAACCTCTTTAGATAAATCCAGCTGCAGGTACCGCTGCTCCGGGGGCTCTAGTGACAGCGCCCCCCACAGTCCTGTGGGACCTGCACCTGCTCCGCCCAGCGGGGACAGCAGCACGTCTTTGCATCGCTGGAGCACAAAACTTGGGTAGATACAGTCATTAACTATTCATACATTGCACAGATCAAAATATATGTGTTAATGTCAGTGCTTTTATTTTTTTATTTTTTCACAGAATGCGAAAGAAATCTATCGAGGAGGAGCTCTGCACCCTTCCCACCGTCGCTGGTTCCAACCGATTGTCACGTTTTTTGCCGAGTTGTAAGTCTGTCTGGACATTACACCTAATTAAACCAGGACATGGTTGACTTTTCCTGTGACTTTCCCGTTTTATCTTCCCGCAGCCATTCTGTACCAGGAATACAGCGACGTCGCCATCAACAGAGAGATCCAGAGGCAGCAAGGGAAGGAGCCGGGCCCCGAGGAGGAGGGGCTCAGGGACGAGGGGTCGGATGGGGCCCCGTCTCCTTCCAACCTGTCTCCATCCAGCTCCTTCCGCTCGTCACGGGGCTCTGCTTTCGCACTGTGGCAGGACATCCCCGACGTTCGGACCAGCGGCCAGCTCGACAACTTCAGCAACGACGAACGGAAATTACAGGAGGTGAATGGGACTTTATTTTATTAGATCAGCTACAGTTGTTTTCACCGCAGTCCACCTGTTTTATCCGTGTGCTGCAGACGAGCCGTCTCACCCACCGTCTCACTCCCCGTCTCACTCCCCGTCTCACTCCCCGTCTTCACTCCCCGTCTCTCCCGTCACTCAGGCAAAGTTTGAGCTGGTGACGTCCGAGGCGTCCTACATTCGCAGTTTGACGATCGCGGTGGACCACTTCATGCTGTCTCAGGAGCTCGCCGAGTGTCTTGGAGCTCAGGACAAGCAGTGGCTCTTCTCCAAGCTGCCTGAAGTCAAAGGCGTCAGCGAGAGGTGAAGGATGATGCTGACTTTAAGCTGATGGGCCTCTGCAGCCTTTAAATTCTCCATTTTAACTTCTCAGTAGTCGTCTTCTCTGAGCGTTTTTTCTTGCCTTTCAGGTTCCTTCAGGACCTGGAGCACAGGCTGGAGGAAGACATTCTGCGTTTTGATGTGTGCGACATCGTCCTGGAGCACTGCCCGGCTCTTCGGAGGGTTTATTTACCCTATGTGACTAACCAGGCGTACCAGGAGCAGACATACCAGCGGTTGCTGTGAGTAGCTGCTTCCCTTTGATGTGGATCATGTCAGCAGTTGGAGGTCTAAATATATACAGTATGCAAATATATAATGCATACAATTACAATTGTAATGCTTGATAAGTCCATAATCTCCTCTAAGGGTATTCTGGTGTTATTTAAGTCCTGCATGACTTAACTTGCAGATGTTTCATCTAGAGTAGGCGGAACCTTTTTTTTTTTTTTTTCTCTCTAAAGAAAAGTAGACTGTATTTAACAGCCACTTTCGCTAAAAGTCATTTAGGTATTTTTTAAGTGTACTCGTCCTGTCCTCTCAGGCAAGAGAATCCTCGTTTCCCAGGCATCCTGGCTCGTTTGGAAGAGGACCCAATCTGCCAAAGACTACCTCTGACCTCCTTTCTAATCCTCCCGTTTCAGAGGATCACACGCCTCAAAATGCTGGTGGAGGTAAATAATCGCTGTCGAATTCATGTTTGCACTTGAAACCCAGTTACTTGTTGTCATGAGGTAAGAACGGACAGACAGAGACATTCGCGTTATGTTTATTCACCAAACGAGTAGTATTCACTCTTCAAAAAAAACATATCTACTTTTCAGAACATCCTAAAGAGGACGACACCAGGCTCCCGGGATGAGGACACGGCCACAAAGGCTTTCAACCAGCTAAAAAAGGTGGTGATTATCATCCCTAATAGGTAGTTGGATGAGTACCAGTATTATCACTGGTGAGGCAAACAGTAATAACAATGTTGGTATGTGTATCTACTTAGATCATCAAAGAATGTAACTCCAGTGTGCAGTCAATGAAGAGGATGGAGGAACTTATTCACCTCAATAAAAAAATCAATTTTGAGGGAAAGGTGACCAAAGTCTATCGTTCATTGTTTTTATCTGCGTCGTTAACATTTTGCTGTGCATCCAACTCATCCGCCGATTGGCTTTCCTTGCAGATCTTCCCTCTGATCTCTCAGTCCCGCTGGTTGGTGAAGCACGGGGAACTCTTGGAGGTGGACACTCAGACGATGAGTATTTCTGGATCGAAGCTCAAGTTGCCCACGAGGCCCGTGTACCTTCATCTGTTCAACGACTGTCTGCTTCTGTCCCGGAGGAAGGAGTGAGTGAAACGCAGTCGATGCACGGAGACCATATATTGCACTGATTGCAGACTCTATGTGTACTGTATAGACATATATATATGATTTTGATAATAAATATTTTTGCAGCGCGTGGAAGTTCATGGTGTTTGTGCACGCCAAGATAGGAGAGCTAAAAGTGAAGGACCTCAGTCAGAAGCTGCAGGGCATCTCAGGCTTCATCTTCCACTTGCAGCTGTGTGGAGGCCAACAGCTCAAACACCAAATCCTGCTCAAGTCCCACACCGAGTGAGTGACAACAACAATTAAGTATGCCGCCGTATAAACGGGGAGCTTTAGCAGAAGCTGATGCAACGGCTCTTTCGTGTGTCCACCAAGGAGCGGGAAGCAGAGATGGATTACAGCCATGTTTCCATCCGATCCGCTCGAAGACATCGAGCAAGCCAATGAGAACGATGGTCAGTGGAGAGCTTTAGATGCCCAATGAATCAGTGGAAACCTTTTAATCCTGTGATTTCTTGCCTTTTGCACTTAGATATATCCCAGGTTCAGTGCATCAAGAGCTATCAGGCGCTAGAGCACGACGAGTTAACACTGGAGAAGGCCGACATCCTTCACGCTAAGACCATTACAAGTGATGGTAAGAGTTTGGATGAAGTCTTTAGAAGCATTCCGGCCTCAAACTGCGCCTAAGTGAACGTAAAAAGTAAAAAGTTAGGTCCGTCCGTCCCTCTGGCGGTGTTAGTTTTATTCAGGTGCCGCAGTGGTTCCCTTGATGTCTAAGGGATGTTCTCTCTCGACAGGCTGGGTGGAGGGCATCAGGCTGTCTGACGGAGAACGGGGCTGGTTCCCCAAAACCTACGTGGAAGAAATCACGAGTCGCAGCGCTCGCCTCCGCAACCTCCGAGAAAATATCCGCATCAAATGTGTGACGCAGAAACTGGAGGGGGGAAGACTAATCACTTTTACTGCCTAATCACTTTGCCTAATCACTGCTGCACCGTTGACCCCTTTGTCACCTGTCAGAGGTATGTTTCAGCTCCTAAGTTGCCTTTTTAAGCTTGTGGATCATTTTAGTCATGAGTTTGGATGAGTGTGGGACCTATTTGAAGTACGCAGGTATGAAAACTGGCCTTATATCAAACTTATATCATTTTAGCTGACACTGCTTTTATACAAACCAATGTTCACAGGAGGACATGTTTGTTGGTGCTTCCCTTTTAGGTGTGCTTTCTGGTCAGTCATTCATTTCCATTTAATAAGTCTGAAAAACACAGTAATTTAATCATTTCCAAAGATCATTTCCAATATCTCGGCTCATGTAAGAGTCCACATGTTGGGACTGTCTCAAGCTGAGGCATGAGAGGTACATGAGTGTCATTCAGTTCATGTTGCATCATCAGAAAGTTGCTTGCGGTAAATACTTCAATTGAGCTGCATTAAGACCCATCAGAGGCCTTTTATAAGCTCTCGGTCTTCACTCTGCGCCGCTTTTGTTTCAGAAGACGAAATGAAAGGTTTCGAAGAGAAATGAAAACCTGATTTATTTTTTCTTTCCATCCGATATGTGACTACATATAATGTAGTGTTGTTCCTTTCCATCCATTTGATTTGTTAAAACATCCGTGCCTCTTTATTAAAGAGGAAGTCCAGATGAGATTACTGAAGAATGGTGGTTTTAATTTTTTGTTTTGTTAGAGAGGATTTCACAATTCTGCTGTAATAAGTGAAGGACAGAACATCCTGTTAAAAAGGCCACAATACACAAATAAGGATTAAGCGGACGATGTTTTAAATTTTTTCTTTTTATGTCACCAAATCACCTATTTATTATATTGACAAGTATTGTCTGAGAAGCTAAATACTGATCGATCTTATACTTCGCTGCCATAAAGTTTCACTGGTTTCCAAAAACAATTAAACACACAAACTGTTAGACTCAATGACATTCCTTCGTTTCTTTGGACACTGTGAGTACATTAACCACTAATGCAAATACTGACAACAGCACCAAATATTTATTAACGCACAACAGAAAATAGCCCCCAAAAATGCACTACTTACTGGTAACGTCTGCTAAAAAACAACCGTAGGAACGATTTTACCTTTTTTTACTGTTAAAACTGTTTATATGCGAGTCATTTCAAATCTTGGCGATGAGTGCCACAGACACGGTGGAGAATGTGGTCTTTTTACTGCATTTGTTGACGGTGAGAAAAATACAAAATAATTTACTTTTAAAAAGAAGGAAATTGACATTCACTAAAGGACACATCTACATAAGAGGTAAAGATTTTGCCTTTAACATCAGTTTTAATCCCGTTATAACCATAGAAAACTGTTATATTCAGCTTATCATAAAGGATCAAGTAATACTTGATATACTGATGACTGAATTACACATTCCATATTACTCCTCTCTTTAGTTGCAAAAGTCCCCAATTGACCAAAAGAGCAGCGTAACTGACCTGAGACCTGCTGTTAACAAACCACTATAATGAACATTCAATTGTAAACTTCCAGTGGCACATACAATGTTTATAACCCCCTTTTTTCTATGTCTGTGTTGTGAGTTGTAATTTATTCGGTTGCTGTTGCAGCACGTGTATTTATACTCCTCAAGCTGGTTGTTCTCCAAGGAGATTCTGATGTATATGTACTTGTGCAGATGGCTTCATGTATAAAGGGTAGAAAATGAATAATTTACTATTAGGTCTGTAATTTATGTGAACAAAGATTCAGCAACTATTATTAGATTCCATAATTATGCCGTTTTCAGTAATACTAGCTATACATATTGTAATACACTGGATGTTCACTGGATCAGCACACTACTGTAAATGTTTAACCATTGAAATAAATACAGATACTTCCGTTGTTCTATTTTGCTGAATAAATGACTCTTAAAGGTTTGTTGAAAGTTTATTGTAGAAAGGGTCCAACATTATGTAATTTATAGTAAAGACATGGAAGCTAAATATGTACAGTTGCTTCGGTACTATTTTCTCGATTAACTAACGCTCTACAGAGTACACAGCGCTTGAATTAGTCACCACCCTGATGTTTGACTCCACGTGGAAGGGAACTAAAAGTGTCTCTTTCATAATAAAAGCTTTTCCACATCCAGGTGAGTCAGCTGCGGCCGTTGATGTCGCAGTGGTCGGCGGCTATCATCGGTTCCTGGGACTCCTTCCTGCTCCTCTGCAGCTTTGGCATGATTGGAGGTGCAGTGTGACTCACAGCAACATGACTGTTTCTGTCTGGCTGCAGGTCAGGGAAAATAAATCTTGTTGCTACAAAGTTGATTCACATTTGAGGTATTCAACAGAACCTTTTGAAGTTGTATTTGCAAGAATTTCTTGCAAATACAACTTTTTTTTCACCCCCCTGATTTTCCAGAATTAACAACCGCATAACTGACTTTAAAAGGGCTCCAAGGTCGAGGTGTTTGGCTGATGTTTGACGGACATAATATGCAAATATGTCTGCAGATTAGTCAATATGATTAAGCAGTTTTCAGGGTGGAGCACAGCCGTAGGCCAGATAATTCTTTGAACATGGTTAGAAAAGTTTCTCTCAACATGTACAGGCAATCACTATCTGCGAGTGTTAAAAATTGGTCAAAGGAACCACAGCGAACTACTTTGCCTGGAGGAGAGCAGAAGGTATGTCTGGAAAGGACGGCTGCCTAGTTAACTAATCCATCTCCAGAGCAGAGGGACTGTAGGCCATCAACCTGCTGTATCCAGTCTTAAGTATGAAGGTGGCTGGCTGCTAAATGAGAACAAGTAAATTACCAGGTGCTTCGTCCACACACGGTTGTCACAGCACAGGAAATCTCATTTTAATTGTCTGATAACTTCTATCTTCTCGCTGTCCTGCTGATTCCATTGGGCCATCTCTTCACGGTTCTGGGTGATCGGTGCAGAAGGTCTGACAGCCGAGGAGGTTTGCACTACTAAGATGGACCATTGGCAACAATTTCTTTCCTTCTCTATAATGCTCGGCAGATTTTGTAGCTAGCACCCTAAAATATTCTTTAAATAGTCTTTGAACTGCATTCAAAAAAACAACCACAGAACAAAACTCACCCAAATAAAACGACAGAATGCTTTTGATCTCAAACTCATTTGTGATTAATAAACCAAACCAGTAGCAGCCAATGAACTGCAGAAATGGGAAGACATATTGTGAAAGATATGCTAAAACATTGTTTTTTCCTCGATGTTAACAGGTTTTGGGCCACTTCCATTCAATAGAAAAAAAAATTGCACACAACATTGGCACACGAAAGAGTCTATTTCTGGATTTTTTTACCTCGATCACCCGCAACACACAATGGCAAACACCACAAAGAATTCACCAACGCCGCAGTTCCCCTCTGATCCTCTTTTGCCTCGCTTGCTATTCTTTACAAGTGTATATGCCTTAAAAGATGTCAGACAGCACAATCTAACCTGTTGTAATTGAAACATCCAATTCCGATAATCCTCCACACAGGTACAGGCGACCTGCAGGGGCTCCACCAGCTCACCTAGAACACAACAGCCATTGTTAAACGCTTGTGTTTCTCCATGCACTTAGTTTAGCAATGATCACATTCTACAGTTAGCCAAGAAAGTATTAATGTCCGACGTTTGCACAGCACACCTATGAGCTCAAACTCCAGCCGTCCAGGCAAGGCGGACCTCTCGACTGCCTTAATGCTGTACCGGGGCAGCCGGCCCTGTTAGAGAGGACAAAGACGTTTAAAAGATTTCAATTGTGCGGACAAAAATGTGTGAAAAGATCACGTCAGAAGTTTACAGTGAGTAGTTATGCCACAGTGGTTGGGCGGTGTGTTATCGTGTATTCCTTCCATAGAGTCACTTTCCAGTACCTCATATCTTATATTTAGGCGCTTGTTGTCAACTGACAGCAGCAGGATGTCTTGAGGGAAAAGAACCATCAATCTTTCTTGTGGTCCCTGAAAGAAAACAGCCATGTCACTGCTACTGTTGTGTTAGAGGTTTGATACTGATGCTCCTACTGGCAAAATACATTGACACTTCAAATAATGTTCTATAGAATATAGAAACTTATCACGATGACCATGATGACAAATTTCGATGCCAAATTTCGTGTTAAATGAATGAGACCTCTGCAGAAGGCCTACTTGCCACATTGTGTGCTAGTAACTTAACTTTAACTTAAAACCTGACTTACTCAGAGATTGATTAGTAGATCCTCTGACAAAAATGCTTTTGTAAGTGGGCGTTTGTCTCACATCAGGTGTGAGGAATAGAAGCACATAGAGATGGATAAAAATATCTGTTGTATCTGTCTGTATATTCTCTTCCCTCTAGCTCGCTGCAGAGCTTGGCTATTTCAGAAGTAAATTTATTTTCATGCCGACGAACATGTAATTCTTGCTCTCCAGTTATTTTATCCGTGCTAATGTGCAGACTGAGGAGTATTTATTACCTGTCTTTGTGTCTTGGTGATATGTACGATAGATATGTACCCCGGCTGACCCATGTGCTGTATCGGCGAGCCCTCCCACTGCCATATGGGAGCTTGTAGTAAGTACTTATTCAGTTCTTCTCTTTTCCAGTGCTCATCACAGGGTAACTAGGGAAGAAATACGACGCGTGACCATTTCATTCATTACAATTTGACTCGTCTAATTGTCACGTAGAGCTGTAACCAGATAAAAGCAGTTGGTCATTACAAGATGGGAGAGAGCGCAGTGGGAGGGACTCATGGGTTGTGCCATTGACTTGTATCTCCTGTCTTCTATGTGTTGCATCCATTTCTGTAGCTCTACAGAATTGGAGCATATGAAGACTTTGGCGTCCATCATTGGACCTGGAGGAAAAGAGGGAACAGGGTGAATCACGCTCAGTACCTCACGCTGCCTCTTAACTGATTTTGGTCATTTTTGCCGACTCACCGCTGATCTCGAACATGTGTGGTGAATGTGCCGTTTTTACCGCTTCCAAGGAAAGGCCAGAAAGGGGAAGGATACCCTACGAGGTTGCACAACGTGTCAGAATAAACCGATGTGCTTTAGTTTCCTCCTGAGGAGATCGTGATGTCTCATGAAACGTGATGGCTTGTGTGTGGTTTCTGATTTACACATCCAGCAGATACTCAGTTCCTATTCCGTCTCACTTAGGTACTTTTTTAACCTGGACCCCATGTCGGGTTTTTGATTTTGTGTTGTCAGAGTGTGTTGTATTAGAGCTTGTATGGGTACGAAAATTATAGCTTAGTGTAATCTAATAGATGTAAATGTGACCCTGGCTAATTTGGAAAAAGTGGGACATGAGATGTCAAAACAGGATTTACAAGTATACAAAGGCTCACAAGCTTACAAGCTGTATAATGTAAAGGAAAAACAAATTGTTTTCCTATGGAGTCTTTTCCATGTTGTCGTAAAAAAATTTTTAAAAAATTCTCAACCTGTGAGTGTCAAAAACAATGCATATGCTTTGGAGATGCAAGTGATGACATTGCACCACGTTTTCAATTAAATGCACTGCACATTAGTCACTATATGAACAAAATATGGGAAAATTGGGTCCAAGTTAAAAAAAAAGTACAGAAGTTACCCTTTAATGTGTGTTTGAATCTTAGCTACAATTTGAGTCATTTCATTTTTAAGTAAAGCGTATGAATACCTCGTAAACAAAGTCTTGTCGAGGGTGGTCCAGTGAAAGGATCAAGAGGTGGAAATAGAATAACACCAGGAAGTGTTCCCTGGTTTCCTGTGGGAGGGGACAAGACGTGTGAGACCATGTGACACCCAACAAGCAGGAAGAAGTGCGGTGGACGTACGGTGTCAGTCTTTCCCTCAACGGTTTAAAACAGACTATGTAATAAAACTGACCGGTTTCACCATTTATCAGAATAAAGATGTCGCTTGCCAGACAGAAGTCTAAAGTGGTGAATGGAATCCAACAACTAGAGCAGCAACTCACAAAGGAAACACATTCTTCAACGCGACTTCAGAATAAACCTTTTTAGGATGATGTTGGCGTGCGGCCACACGTTGTTGTGTTACCTGTGTGTAAGTGTTGTAGAGAGACACCAGGGAGGAGTGGATGATCTCGCCATACATGTGTGCAGGTTGACCCTCCCACTCCCTGATTGGCTGATGGGAGTAGATCCTGTGGTGCAACTCGTCTCTGCTTCTGCCCCACAGTACCCCCTGCAGACACAAACCTGGTTAGGATTTGCACACGTAAATCAGCCCTTTCCTTAGTTCCACTTTGTGTGTTTTTAAATAATAAAGAAGGTCTCTGATAAGCTGTGTTATTAAATGTTTTTTATGTGCCGCCACCCCCTCCGTCAGTATGTGGCGACATATTTCACAAAAAGATTGACGTTTGCTTCACTGTTGCGAGCATCTAGTCGTTGTTAAAATGGTTGTTGGGGGTTGGAAGCTTCACATGTCGACAATTTCTCATCCAAGTGGATAGATGTGCAAAAGCTCAAGTTTGTGTGGCAGTGTGTCCTCCCTCATTTATTTCCTGTAAAGTTTGAATCACCCCAAACAGGGAACGCAGAATCTCTGCGCTGTGTGTGTGTGTGTGTGTGTGTGTGTGTGTGTGTGTGTGTGTGTGTGTGTGTGTGTCTGGCCTGAACAGAAATAACTGCGCTGTGGAACAGTGGAAATTGTTCATACTCATGTGAGGAACATCAACTCAACTTAAGCGCTAAAAAGTGTTTTGCCCAAATGAGGCCCAAGCTGTGTTCTGTGCATGATGAAGAATCTGAGTCACACGTGTACACACACACACACACACACACACACTCATAGATCACGCCACAGCACAAGCATTGTGACCTGTTGTTCCAGGTGGCGTATTGAAGGGCAGCGCGGCGGTGCCGGGGGAGGCTCATCTCTGCTGGTCCTCACTGACAGCTGAAGTCTGGTCTCTCCCAGACTCCACACCCTGAAGAACACACATTTCATCAGCCACGTATGAGCAGTCAATGCTTCGGGTTCTGAGTGGGTGTCTTCGTGGCCTCGTTGTTGCACGGATGTGGGTTTGGTTTCTGGTCTCGTCTGTACACTGTGAATGTTAAACTGCATGGCTCTGTATTACTGTTCAAAGCAACGACATTCACAACAGTCTCCCTGTTTGCGCGTGTCCCCTAATGATGCTGCTTTTGTTTGGGCTGCCTGAACCTGGTGAGCCTTTAAGAAAATGAACATGAGATTGTAGAGAGATCGAGCATATTAGAATTTAAATGACGGGTCTTGATCCTCCTGCAGCCCAGTGGCAGACAGACGTAATCAGATTACAGAAGTCCGAGCTGAGACAGACAACCCCCCCTTGTCCCAGAAGGAGGTGACCACGTCCCTCCAGCGCCATTTCTTTAACAAACTAATACGTTTCTTATTTTAGACCCGTCCATAAATGCCTAAATAAGCACAAACGCGGTGGTACTTGTCAGCGCTTCTGTCTCTGTAACTCTGACAGGTTCATTAAATATACATGTAGAGCTCGTGGAACTCAAAATAGGGTGAGCTCATATTCAACATGAGTCAAGCAGCTTTTAAAACAATATATGTCACAAGTTCCCCAATGATTAATGTATTGTCAGCTTGAGTTTTGTGTGGGCTTGCATTGCAATCTTAAACTATGGCATGCATATAATGCTATGTACTTATTAGTTTGAATGATGTTATTCGAATACCGACAACATCAAACTCAATAATAATGACTAAGTCACTAGTGATGTAGTGATGGATACATCATATGTATCACTACATCATATATGTATATGTGTGTGTTCATCTTCTGACTTCTTTGTCTGTGAATGGGCTGCAACCATAAGTAACAATCCACCACGTAAGCAGTCATTATTTAACAGCCACCCATAAGAACTGTGGTAGTTACTATTGTAATTATCCTCTGGTAATCCCTTTGCCTTAAAACAAGAGGGGATTTGTCCCGCCCTGACTCTGTATTAAACCCCTCCATAATTCAGCCATTGTCTTTTAGTAAGCTGCTAATCACGTCAGTGCAGCATCACCGAGTCCACAAGTTCATGTTTAGTAAATAGAAGCCAATTAGTTCACCAGTCTTGTTGTTCTGCTGCGTGCTGCTAAGTGGAAAACATATGGATATAATGTGTTGTACTGCAGGTGCTTTTATGGTGGTTAAAGGCAGATTGATCTGTTATTCTCTGTTTAACCTGGAGGATTTCTTTGTAAAAGCACATCCTGTTACCGTGAGAAAAGAAGCATTTCGTGTGTACATCATTGATACTACGCTGCAGCTTTGACAAAGGTTATGCGAGAGGCTTCCTCTTCTTAGGCTTTACACGTAAATGCGAAATGTGACCCACTTACAGCTAAAGAAAAAAACACAGAGGTTGAAAGAGAAACAGCTACAAAATACTTATGTATATGTTATGTTTTCGTTCTTTATTTTTAACGGATTTGCAAAAATTTGCAAAAAACAGTTTTCACTTTGTCATTATGGGTTGTTGTGTGTAGAATGTTGAGGAAAATAATGAATTTAATCCATTTTGGAATAAGGCTGTGAATACTTTCCGGATGCACTGTAAAATGCTTTATTAACTTCCCAGTGTCGCTGCTTCCTCCTGCAGAACTCATCGATACACAAAAGCACATTTAGACAAAACTAAAAGTTACTCTCTAAAGCTCTGAAGATAACCACCATAACCACCACACATTTTAGCCAATCTGCATTTGGTTCCGGGATCCAAACACAGACACACAACTCTGCTTCCCCACCTTTACTTTTCTATTTTTGAGCATTTCTCACCATTAAATTATGGAACCATGTCTTACCCTAAATTGTCTCCGGAGAGTTCCAGGAGCTCGATCTCGTCGGGGCCCACCTCGTCCACCCCTGTATGGCTCTGGGTCACACTGCAGCATCCCATGTTGGACGAGGAGTGTGTCCCTCTCCTTCCGTCTCAGCTTCTAGTCCTCAAACTGAGCACCATCTGCCCAGACGATCATCCCCGCTGTGTGTGTGCGCGCCACACTTAAACCAAAGAGATAACAGAAAAACGGGGGCTGGTTGGGTCCAAAAGAGGATATTGTGTGCTAAAGAAGAGAAGGGAGGGGGTGTTGCTGCTAAGCTCTAGTTCCCCCTTTTTGCCAGCATGTAGTTTATAATTAAACAGAGCCACAAGGACAAAAGGTGTTACCGCTGTCAAAGAGGAATTGAAGATAAAAGTGGTAAAAAAAAAAAAAAGCGTTGGGTCACAGCTTTGTAGTTGTTCCTTCCTGTCAGTTGGCTGTCGGCAGAGAAATTAACCATTTCCTCAGTTGTTTGTTCTATTGACGGTCTGAACTCAGAATGGGAACTTGATGACGCTTTAGCATGACTAATACAAACTAATTCTGCTGCTTATTAAACCTTGCCCTTTGCAGATGTAAAAAAGCAGCTGCTACGTCCACTTACATGCTGATAAGTAAGGCTCCGATGCTGCCAGCCTTTTTGTTGTCATGCATCAAAATGAAGCAAGGATCCTGTTGGGAAAGATGGTAACATGAACTAATAAATATTCATAGACAAGTGAAATAATTGTGAGTTATGAAATGCAGATATGAGGTGCTGCAATGAAAACAATAAGCAACAACAACTGTCGCCCTGTGTTGATCTTCCTGGTTTAAATTACAGTGACGTGGTGGGAGGGGTTGTACACCGAGTGCTTTTCTGAGGCTTTCCATGTACAGGAGGCGTAGCTGAGAAGTGAGGCAACTTGACATAAGATGAGAGACTGATATACTTTCTTTTGCCTCAAATGTTAATGTTTACCTTCATTAAAGTAAACAAGTCGACCATAAATAAAATGTACAATGATGTTTTACGTCGTACTAAACCTGCTACATTTTATTTTTTTCAACATCATTTAATATAACCTTTTTCTTCTTTTTTTCTAACAACATTTTGAATAACAACATTAGAACTTGACTGTTTCTAATGTCTTGTTCTGACTGTGGTGTTTCTCATGCTGCCAATAGATTTCATAGGGCTGCCACTAGGTGTCATAGGGCTGCCACTAGGTGTCATAGAGCTGCCACTAGGTGTCATAGGGCTGCCACTAGGTGTCATAGAGCTGCCACTAGGTGTCATAGAGCTGCCACTAGGTCAAGTCAAGTCATTTTATTTTGTATAGCCCAAAATCGCAAATTACAAATTTGCCTCAGAGGGCTTTACAGTCTGTACACATACAACATCCTCTGCCCCGAAACCCACCATCGGCACAGGAAAAACTCCCCAAAAAATGAAAAAAACCCTTACAAGAGGGAAAAAAGGGAAGAAATCATAGGGCTGCCACTAGGTATCATAGAGCTGCCACTAGGTGTCATAGAGCTGCCACTAGGTGTCATAGAGCTTATAATGCAGTCTTGGCGGTGAGGCTGCAGATTGCAACAAAATGAAACTCCTCCTATGTGCCAAGCCTGCTAGAGAAATAGGTTGAAGAAAGGTGCAGTGACGATTTAATATGTATTATTAAAATGATTGTTAATGTATTGTTTTGATTATGTCTTATTGTGTTTGAAAGCTGTACAAACACCTCACAAACACCTGTATAACAACAATAACTGCCAATAGGTGACTTCTTATTGCAACACTACTAACAATTGATTGACAATAATTGTACAGCGAATGAAAGAAAGCCAGCCTTGTAGAGGGGCTAAAGTATGGAACATTATCTCAGCTACTGCCAGGCTTGTTCTTCTAGTATTTTACATTAGTAAATAGTTTGTGTAAAATATTTAATAGTTACAGTATTAAAAACACTCCTCCTCGCTGTAAATTAACAGTTTTCACAGTGTTGTGTGAGAAACACACACCTTCCCTGAAGAGGTGACTGAGTGTTAATGACAATCGATTGTCTGCCATTTCCTCCCACTAATCACGTATTACAACCAACTCCAGTGATGTCAATATATATATATATATACTTTTTTGCCTTTGTGATTCGGAAGTGTCGGTTGTATGCCAACGGAGTTCATCACTACGGACACAACACAAAGTGCCACGTTTCCTGAGAACATCAGCTGATCATTTTTATGTGTATGGATTTTAGTTGAGTCACAGAGGAGCTGTGTTGTTTGTCTTTCGTCCACACATAAGTGTACAGATTGATGGATAGGCCTGGTTGCAGACTTAATAGTTACAATATGCAACACTATACCGAATATTGTTTTGCTATAACTTATATTACACTTATATACCTTCATATTTATAATGTACCAGCCATTTTAAGTTTTACCATATCGTGTTATACTGTTACACCACCACTAGGTTAATTTACATTACTACAGCACTACATACAATACTATAATTTCTTTATTATACTGCACTACTAATTTTGTGTTCTGTTTGTGTAATGAAGCATTTTAAATTACCTAATGTACGTCTATTTTAAAGCACTCTTTCACATCTCCCTTTTCTCCTCAAATTCACAAACACCATGAAGAACCATGTAATTGCAACATTTTATGACATACGCAGATATCAAAAGGAACACTTTTTTTTTGTTGAGACAGAGATCTCCAGAGCCCAGCTGTCTGCACATAACGCACCACACAGTCCCTCTTATGTCTTACAAACAAAGCTGGTTCTGTCCAGTCTGAGCTGCGCTTCACGTTCTTTTCCACAGAGCAGAGGGAACGGTGTCGTCTCTGGCAAGCCGCAGGCGGTGATCCCTGGTGGCGATAGCGGCTTGGTTACAGTCTTCTTCTGCACCTTAGAGTCCTTCGCTTCATCTGCAGCTTGGGGACAATATTGCAGAGAACATTTGCTGAGCTTGAGTTCAACTCGAGACCTGTGATTCTTCTGGGTTAGGGTTAGGCTCTCGCTGCAGACCGCCACTGATTCACGGGGAATAATTCTGTTGAGCAGAACAAAGTCCCTCTGACTGGCCAAAGGAAGAATTCTCTCTTTGAGCCTGCACTTGTCGAAGATCTCCAGAGTTATATCTAAAGCATGAAGGAGGGACAGCAGATAAAAACATGTTAGAAAAGTAAGAAGAGATGAAACATTTCTGTTTTCAGCGTGCTGTTAAATTCACTTTAACATTTGAAACTTGGAACGAAAAGGCGGTTTTATGTGCAGAAATAACAATGGCCCACCCAGCGTCTCCACAACAGTGCTGGGTATCACCTCCTTCAGCACCTTACAATTCGTTTGGAGAGCTGGATTACTGTTCATCTCCAACAGCCAAACCTGTTATAGACACGAAGACACAAGTAGTCCACAAACACGCGCTTTAACATTGACACTGACCGCCATCCGGATACTCAGCGACGCGTCGCCCACCTTGAAGTCCTCATCGACCATAAAGTCGCAGCCGATCAATTCAAAGAAGCCCAGTCGGCGGTCAAACTTGGATTTGACTGCCAAGAAACACTGGGTCATTATCTGCTGCATGCGCTTCTGATACGATGGAAGGAAAAAAACACACAATGTAACAGTTTCTTTAACGCCCAGTTTGGATGTCTGCAGCTCTTAACAGGAATAATCTTAATCATTATGCATACATAACATTAGACCTGCATTCAACCTGTTATAAGCATTTTGGAGCAACAGGCTGCTGCTGCGAGGGAGCAATTTTATCGTAACATTTGTGTTTGCATTTCTTTAAAGAATAAAGGATGTCATTTTACATTTTTTCTGAATCTCTACAATCCAAATGTACAGTCATTAATTATTTTAAGGCAAGAACATGCAAATGTGAATATTGAAATTGAAAAATAACACTGCTTACTGTTGACTACTACTAATCGTTACTTTACTATTGATATTATTGATATTATTCATTATTTAATAAGTTTGAATACAATGTAATAGCGCCCTAACTCAATGACAAGCTACAGAAAATTCAACCAATCAGTCATAAAATATGTAATGCCAAAAGCCAATATGTTAAAATGGTATGGTCAGATTTTTACGCTGATAACATGATGTGTGCTCAGACAGGAGTGAAGTCATCCAAGCCGAGCCCCAATCTCAATTAGCTGCGAGCGTCAAGAACCATCGTTATAACGGTAATTGGTCCCCGAGAGCTGCGACGCGCCGCGGTACTCACTGCGAAGGCGCCCATCACCCAGTCCCTGGGCAGACCCTTGGCAACCTGAAACTTGTCATTGACGTAGGTGTTGAAGCTCTCCATGGACCACACGGTGTCCTCCTTCAGCTGGCTGTACATGGGGTTCTTCTTCTGCATGTACTGGAGATGGACAGCAGGGGGACCAGAGACACGTGAAGCAGTCAGCAGGAGCACAGAGAAAGTCGATGCAACGGTGTTTGATCCCTTCAACCGCTCTGTAAATGACGGAGGACAAGCATGCAATCTCGTGTCTCCTTAATATTATTGTGGGTTTTGTGTTGTTGTTTTTTGAGTCAGATGGAAGTTTACACGGCATGTGTGAAAAGATGATTGAATGCTTTTAAACTCCATAAATGAAAAGGGATTTCCGTCTAGTTCCCTCTTCATTTTACTCAATTCGGCCACACCAGTTATTGACATGCGTGACCACGCTTGCTTACAATGATGTCTGCGCGGAGTAAAACTAGTTGAAATACATTTTAGCCCAGCGCTCACTTACATTAAAAGCACATTTTAAAGGTTAGCATGAACGGAATGTTTTTGGCAAAGCTCGATCAGTATCAAGCTTTACCTGATTTGTCAGGTGGGAAGACAGCTTGTTAGAGCTGGGGTCGTAGAGGTCACAGGTCAGTCGCACGTATCCATGCCGAAAGAAGACCACGTAAGGTGCAGTGCAGGCGATCAGAAGGTAAGAGCGCACGTCAAACTTTTTCCCTCTCAGGAGCAGCGGCCTCTGGATGTAACTGAGGGAAAAATGTCGGTTCACCGCCAATCTCAACCTGCTCAACGTTTCCATTGGGAAATGCGGGTTGTCCTTCGTCAACAAGATGTTGCCTAGTTGGAGACGCGATATTAATTGTGAGAAACCCATAGTTACGCATGTTCACCCACTGTTGGACGATGCGAGCCTGAGGTTGGCGGTGGTGCATCTTCTTGTGTTCCTCTGTGTGTTGCAGCTTTAGTCTGAAGGCGGCGACGTCCTCCGGGTTCATGATCAGAAAGATGCCTCTGCCTTGGTTCAGACCCGTCGGCTTACAGATCCACATGTGACTCTCAGCGTTGCTCACACCTGCTGACAGCCATAAAGATACACCAGGTAAATCAACAACAAACGATATTGCCGGTGTGGTAAAGTCCTTCTCTGTTTGGAGACGGTGTGGAGGACATTTCTCAGCTAAGATCTTCTTCTGTGCTCTGTGGTTCAATATTATTTCTCTGGGTGCGTCTTTCTTTTTTTTATCTTTCTTTATTTCATGTGAGACAAAGAGAGGTTTTTTTCTACTTTTTGGCTTTTTATTTGAATGTTACCATCCCAAAAGAAAAAAGTAACAATCTCACATTTGTACTTACAATGCAGCCTTCTCACGTTGCAGCCTTTGACTTGTAACTAATTATCAATATTTTTTCACCATTGACGGCGATGATGCTTTTCTGATCTGTTTGCACTGGTCTTTTTTTCCCACTGATTTATCCGTCACCCAGAGATCTGAACCAGATGTCTGTGTCCTTCTCCAGTTGACATAGTGATAACCATGTTTGTCATAACCTGCAGACCAGTTATCATAATCTCGTGTCGTTATCACTATACACGACACAGAAACCACGGGTTCGTCTACGGTCCAAAACTGTTTTTTTCTAAAAGTTTTCAGTTTTAAAATTGAACGTATCTTATTTTCCTCAGCCCTGTCCAGTGCTGCAGCTGATCCACATCGGATGCCAGTTAAGCGTCTCCCCTTGTGTTTGTGTCTCAGCCCTTTCCTCTGCTGACTCGTCTCTATGGCAACAACATGTTCCCCTGGGGATTTAATCAGGGCCTTATGGGAGGGTGCATTATTTTCCAACGTCCTCAGCCTCGATTAAACAATCACCAAGGCAACTGTTTTCTTAACACCGCCAAGAACAAACTATTCTTCTTTGCATTACTGGATGAATGACAAGTCAATTTGGACTGACGTCATATCAACAACTGAAGCCTTCTAAATAAACACAAATCCAGTTAAACCAGAGAGTGTTGTTATCAGGATAACAGGGTTGTATTGAAGTTGTGTTTGGGAATTTTACCTTCCTGCTGGGCAAAGAAAACCTCCCTCTCTTCCTTCACATCCATGCGGAAGGTAGTGGGAATAAACTCCTCCATTTTCAGCTTTCTGTGAGGTACAAAAACGCAAGGAGGTTGCACCCATTTGCTGTTCATCTTCAGCTGCTTGGCTATTTTTATTATTTCTTAATTGTAGGAATTCCGCTTTATTTCTTTATTTAAACATATAGCTACGATAGAAATAAATATATTAACTGCCAGTGGGGCTTTTTTAAATGAAACCTACAGTATTTCCGCTATAACTGAGAAACTTAAGTATAAGTAACATTACTGGCTACCGTTATGGTATTACAATGAACAGTAAGTGTGTTCAGAGTGTAAATAAAATTATGTTCAAATGTTGTTCATTGAAGTTTCACTTCTTCTTTCTGCTCTCATTGTTTCTTTGAGGCCTAAACATGCTGCGTGTATTTCTTTCCTTATATATTTGAAAAGCATTATCATATGTTTTTAATCCTGTATGGTTTACATCTGTGTTGGTAGCGTCCATCTTAACCTTTATCCGAGTTTTTTAGCAGTGTAAGCGCACATGTTCATCTCCGCTGGCCTTTAACTTAAACTGTGACTTAAGTCTTGCTTCTCTGTTGTTTTTTTTTAATGGATTGTTACTATGAGACTATTAGACTGTATGATTGCATTGTTTGATCTCATTCTGTAAAATGGGTGCTTTGAGATACTTATTTTTCTTCACCAGCAGATTTGTGCTGGTTAAAAGAATTAGGTTGTGAAACTGTATTTGTTTACTGTCAATAATTGTAGTTTATATAACTGACAAACAGTTGTCGATACCAAGCTTGTGTGATTCCGATTGAAGGCCTGATTGGGGCCGGTGGTCACAAGCTGATATGTCTTTTAATCAGTATTTGCAGAGCCGGGTCTCTATTGAACCTCCATGATGGTACCAGATTGTTGCCAGGTGATTGTGACATAACTGAACATTTTGCAAACAAAATAGCTGTTATATCGCTCTTTTGAGACATACAACCTGGGTCCTTGACCGTGGTTCACTTTGCTGCTGACTCGCTCATATTCCCGCAGACTGTTGAGGAGGCCGATCTTTGTGGTGAGCACCCTGTTGCTGGGAAGCTGGTACACCAGCTGTTCACCTAGAAACAATGCATTGAGATGTTCACTTTCCTTTGAGTAGCAGGAATCATCTTTTCTACTAATAGAAAGGTAGCATTGTGCTACTTTACGGTTGACAGTAAAATACAGCATTCATTCTAGCACTGGACCTTCTTTGAAGTTAAGGTAGTTTGCTGGCGATTTGGTCTCACACCACTTGAGTTTTAAATCCTCCCTGTCCTTGTTGTCAATCCTCTTCCATCCTCTGCCCTCAAAGTAACTGCTCACGCTGAAGGAAAAGTCCAAAGAGAAACGGATCACACAACAATCCAGAAGTCCGCGCTAGTTTAACCACTAGGGGGCCAGCAACAAAAATATACAGCTGGTGTTTGACATTTTTGTATTATTATTAAACCAAATATATAATTTTCAATTTTCTTCAACTTGTAATTCTTGAATTAAACTTCAATTTCCACAGCATTTTAAAAATATCTACAATCCAACAGGTTATTAAATATTTTTATTTGATTTATTTATTTTATATTTCTCTACTTACATTTCAGCACCATTGGTTCCTCCAAAGAAGTAGAAAGGCCCTGGACCCCGGCACTCCTCTGCCTGCCGCTGCCGCTCCCTGCGCGGGAAGGAGCCCCTGGCGAAGGACCTCAGAATGCATCGGTCCATCTGGCCGCTACCTGAAGGGTTCGCCCACGCAAACACACACAGAAATGATGCATACATACAGTCACTCCCACTCACACAAACTTGTGAGCTCATCGCTCTGTACATGTAAATCATGTTGGGGAATTTTATTCTGCAACGCAGCAGTAAAGGATCAAAATATGAAAATGACATCACACTTGACGTCCCACCTTCCCTCTCACGCACCTGAGCCTTTCTGGTTTTCTTGTTGGGAAAAGCCCTTTCTTGCTTTCTTGTTCTGTGTCTCCTCTCTCCAGACCTGCTCCAGTCCACTTTGGGATGAGGCTTTTTGCATGCCTCTTTGGCAAGGTGACGAAGGCCATCTTCCTTTTTTCTCCTCCTGCCTCAAGCTTCCCGCAAGCCTGTTGTCCCCGTGGGGAACCTCCACTTCCTTCTTCTTTGCCTTCTTGCCTTCTATCTTCTCCAGTCTGGTCTCCTGTGCCTGGACTTTACTGCAGCGCTCCACCAAGCACTTGGATGACATCTCCTTGCGCTGATGCCGATTGCTGATAATGCCTGCAAATGTTTCCTGCACTGTGGGCGACCTCTTCAGCATGCAGTCACACTGGATTCAGAAATAGAGACGCCGAATGAGGTGTTCGTTATTGTGTATGAAAGCACAGAGGAATTAGTGGAGTAAAAGATGGAAAGATGAAGCGAACCAGTTGACCTTTTATCTGAAGTACCGTATTTATGGTTCAGACTGAAGAGTCTCAACAACTACATATTCCAATCTCCTCCTCAGTAATTATTTTGCGGACCCCTCAACTTTCCTTCTCATCGGGATGAGTATATTATTTTTTGCCATATTTCATCAGAAATACACTTAATTAGTTATTTGTTCTGAATGCTGTGCAGCCTGCCATGTACATTGGCATAGATGTGTGAGGGTCATGGCCTTCTAATAACTACTGCAAATTAATGTGGTGACCCCCTGACCTCTTGTTCAAGACCACCTGTTAAAATTGGTGGTCTGACCTTCAGTTCCGCACGTGGATATTTGTAGTTGCCAGAACGGGGTGGTTTATAGGACATTCACACCTTCATGGTCCATTGTAATATAAATGTAATAACTTATAAGATTTCCTCTAGGTAAATGGCCTGTACTTGTATAGCGCTTTTCTAGTCTTCCGACCTCTCAAAGCGCTTTAACACTGCATGACATCATTCACCCATTCACACACTGATGACAGGAGAACCACACACAGTGACACCTGCCCATCAGTAACTAACATTCACACACTGTAGTCGCACCCACAGGAGCAACGTTGGGTTAAGTATCTTGCCCAAGGACACATCGACATGCGGGTTAGCCGGGCCTGGGATCGAACCGACAACCCTCTGATTGGAGGACGACCGTGCTCCCCACTCACCCACAGTAGTTCCACGATAAGAACAAACCTGAAATATTAATTAAGATTTTGTTTAATCTGAGAGGAGTTTTCGGGCTGTTCTCTAATCCTCTTCATAACGAATGTAATGCTTTTTGTCCACTTCCTGTAACTGAGTCTAGCTTGAAATAGTTTGGAGGTCACATTGATATCACTACTTCAACCTATTTTTTTTATACATTAAAAAAGAACAGAGGCATGAAGCGATTTTCAATCCCAAAATAAATGTGTTGTTTTGTTTTACAAGACAAGAGCTGAACTTTGACTTGATTGCAGCTATATTTAGAAGCAAAGGGGTTTACCTGCAGTCACAAGGACAGCCGGACTCCCTGACAACCCACTCGGCCTGGTCCTCTTCTGCTATGTGCGCGCTCAACCTCGCAGTCCGACGCCACGGCCGAGACCAACGGCAAACCCGGAGACGGAGGGACAGACTTGACAGAGGAGAAATCCCGTGTGTGTCAGCAGTTTAACCCACTGTCACTCTGCTAGCAGGAAAACCCACAAGACCAACGTCAACAACCGCCAGTTACTCTGGTGATGGGACCCTTGGCAACAGTTGCCGCCTGCAGTTTCAAACAACAGCAGCTCAAGACAAACTAACTACCAAAGATTATGTATCCCACACCTGCCCCTCCTCACCTCTAAGTTTAGCTTCATTCAATATTCATTTCCTGTTAGCCTCTGTTGTATGAACCCGGTGGTAACATGAGAGCAGAGAGCCAACCTGAATGGATTTCACCGTTTGGCACAAACCAAAGATAAAATAATCATTTTTAATTTTACACACTGAACAGCAAAGCCTCAATGTTTTTTAAATATGCAAAGCTCAACAGTCAAACAATGATTTCTGTATCTGAAATGTGTGTAAGAGATGAACTAATACAATACAAGCATATTAATGAACCTTCACTTAAACCTAAAGCCCTCAAATATGATCTTATATATTATATCTATTATGAAGTTCAGTTTATTTCAACTTATCCAGCTGCATCATTTTCAGAATCACTATTTCTACGGCATGAAATTATCATATTGTGTCTATTATGGCAAATCCAGTGGCAGGTATGCAGTTGAGCAACATAGTATTAGTCTGCTCGCATTGGCAAGTCTACTTATCACTTTTTCTGTCTCAGTGATTTGAGTGGGGAGGAAACACCCAGGCAAACTACGGTTTGCAATTAAGTCTAATCTCCTTTCTTCCTCCCAACAGTCTGATAATTGACATGGGTGCATCCATGCAACCATATAATAACACATACAGCAGGATAACCAGGAGAGACGCAAACACCCAACACCTGTCACTCAGCCGCGTGTTTATATTTTATACTATGTTTAGGCTGTATGTAAAATACTTTATAACAATAATAATAATTTACTGTTATAACTTGAAATGAAATGGGGAACAGCCTCAAAAAAGGCAAATGTTTATGTGATAATGTCCAAGGTTTGTGGGTGTAGGAAGGTACTGATAGTGACCGCTGAACAACCGAACAACACAACAGCCAGTCAGATGTTCCACAACCAAAACAGCAAAGCCAACTTTCCTTCCACGGTTTGAGTCACCATAATGCAAACTGCAGGTGACATCACACCCCTTACACGTTTAACAAATGACTACATTTTACAACAAGGAAGCAGCAGTCACCAGACCGACATCAGCTGAGTCATGCACACACACACACACACACAGTGCAAAATGGCAGCAACCTGAGAGAGAGAGCTGCTTGGCAGCGATGCGAGTGCAGCCACAGCACCCCAGTTATTGAAAGCAGGCCTCCCATATTCCTGTTTAACAGAGCTTTGTGTGGAGCCGCTGTCAGCCACACCTTGATAAAGAGCCGCCATCTGATAGACACACTGTGCAAAGGGCTGCGTAGGTGGACAAAGAGAACAGGCTTGTTTTACAGCCCTGTCGACCTCGTGGTTCACCATCTGCCAAGAGTCTTTGTGCGTGTGTGTATTAGGATAAGTGTACGAGCCTGTGTATTTTGTGCGGCTATCTATACGTCCCCTTTTTTGTACTACATATTTCACGATTAAAATGTTAATGAATACCTTTCCTATTTAGATTTGATCTCCGTCTGTCAATGGAAGTGTGTGTGCTAAAGACGGCGGGTCAAAGTGTGTGTTTTCGAATAACGTGTCCTTTAAGGGAATCAAAACTCTATGCCGAGTTATATGAAAATAAAACATCAAAAATAGAATAGAAATCTCTTCAGATGAAAGGTGTCTGTGTGTGTGTGTGTGCGTCTCAAGGCGGTTACCATAAAAAGTGTGTGTGTCTTTGGAGACCCGCCCAATCCCATGCCATCCCAACCGCCTCCTGTACCAGGAAGTGCTCAGCAATTACAGGGATGCAGCCCGCAGCAGTGGTGTCCCCACACAACCCATTATTTGCCAGGACTCTCCTTGTCAAGGTGTAATAGTGGAGGGAATGGAGTTAAGTTTCGATGTAAAGAAAGGCTCGTCTCAATAGGGTCTCTCTGTCTCCTGCTATTCATGCTTTCCTTCCAGATTTACAGCGGGGGGGGGGGGGGGGTGGTAGTGGGGTGGAGCGGCGTTTGGTTCCCAGGCTCTGTATTTACTAGTTCCCACTTTTATTTATATAGCATCTTTCAAATATAGCACCTTTCACGACAAAGTTACAAAGTGCTTAACAATACGCACACGAGTGACGCAAAATACAATCAAGGCATTTGTAAATGCAAGTTGGACACAAAGACGTTTCAGCTGCTGTTCGGGGTTCAATGTTCACTGGACGTTTTAAAGGCATTTGCGTCGATTACACACTTTTGAAAAAAGTAGCTTGACATTTGTAAAAGACGTGGTACACGATGTAAGGTCCTCTGACATATCACACAATCATTCTAAGGCGAGGGAGGTGGAGAAGGGCTGTCTCAGTCCCACCCAGCTCAGCCTCCGTGGTTACTCCGAATGAAGGTGACGCGTGTGGCAACCTCCTGGATTAACGTCATCCAGCATGTTGGTTACACCCTCCAGAGTTATGAAGAGACGCGCGAGGACTACCGCCTGATTTTGAGGTGGAAAATGAGTCACTCTCAGCAGACTTTGGAAAGAACACCACAGACGGAGGAAAGGTGGTGGAGTCAGAGACGCTCGCGGTTAACGTTGTTTGATGGTTTGATGTTTGTTGTTTGCACTCTGAGGCTGTTTTTTGGCCTCTGCTCCAAAAATGGCAAAGCGGCGATAAACGGGCAGACTAAAACCTCGTTCGGCCCCTTTTGAATCGTCTGATCCTATTGGATCCGACTAGCATGACGAGGAAAAAAGGGACAGAGCTTTGCCACTCGGAAGCCGAAACGGGTAGAGCGTAAATGATGCTCGATGGTGACGTCTGGCTAACGTCATTGGGTCATGTACATTGGCGGATACACGGATTACCGCGCAGAAACACCGGATTAAATTCATATTTTCATTGACTTTTTATATTGCGGTGCTTGGCGGTTTCTTGCTCTTCATTTTGTTGGTTTATTTGAGAGAAATAACACTTTACCAGCGTATTCAGCTATTAATCTTTACGTTTTCCGTGTTATTTTTCATGGCTTTTTGCACAATATTTGGACTCACATAAGATATTTTCTAACTCTTTTAATACTTGTTGGAGTTGTGTTTGGGGCATTTTTAAACAGATTATTTTTCTGTGGGTGTGCGGCGTTGCTATATTTCTTGTCTTCTTGTTGGACGTTGGTTCTGCTCGAATGGAAACCCAAATGGGAGATTCTCGAGTGCAACAGGTACAGGAAGTAAAGACTCGATGCAACGAGTGCCGGAGGCAGCCAACACTTTGAAATCAGTCAGGTCAGACAGGTGAAATCCATCAAGGTACAACGACAGAGCTGCGGAGGGAAGCAATATCACTCACACAAATGGTATTAAAAGTACTGGCGTGTGCGAGTGCTTGCAGGGTAATTAGGCCTCATATAACGGGATTCGAGTAAAATACGGTTTCAGTAATAGAAACCATTATGAAAATCATCAGTCGAGGTGTAACTGAATACCTCAGGTGGGTCCATTCAGCTGCTGTGGGATATTTATTAGCAGTCACGGAACAATGGCAGCCAAACTCTGCAGAAAAACCGGTTCCCTAATGAGATCAGGTGAATTCAGAAATATATTGGCAGCGGTGTTGATACTTCATGGGAGAAGCTTCGGCGTCACGGCCTTCCAGTCTTCATGTGTAACACAAAGTGTGCCAAGAAAAGGCAAAAAGTCAAAACTACATTCGACGAGACCGGCCTCATCAAGTGGTTCTTTATCAATTATGCCACAGCTTGCAGGTGATGCTAAAGTACAGCAGCCATTAGCTTAATGGTAACAGCATCATTAGCTTAATGGTAACAGCATCGGGCTGCCATCTTGACTAGCAAACATTTTCTGGTTTAGTAAAAAAGTGAAGTTGTCTTTGACTGGCTCGCTTACTTTACGCAGGTGTGTGTTGGGTACATTCTTTACATCTCATTTTCTTTATCTGCCATCGGATTTATTTCCCTTTGCATTTTCAATGTAAAACACATGATACAACATCAGACCACTTTTTGCATTGCAAGACGTTGATTTAATAACGATCTGTCGGAACTTATCTGAAAATTCTCTTCTTTACGACTGCAGGTTTGTGCAGAGGTTTCTAAAGCGCGTGCTGTGTCCTTACGGCTCTAATGTGATACATTAGAACTGTATATTTTTAGTGTGGCGGGAGATCCCTGCATAACTGTGGGGCAGCTCCTCACATCTGTTTTGTGCGTCAGCACACTTGCAGGTATGCCACAGCCGTTCAGCCCTCCGTTGTGCTCCTGTTCCACCTGAGCGGCGAGCCGGCTCAGTGAATCCGGCCTCCTCCTCCACGGCCATCTGTAGAGCAGCAAAGTGGTCTGGCTGCACCGAGCATGCACAGACCAGTGCAGGAATCCTTTACGGGCTCTCTGCCAGTCAGGAATGTGATTCAGTAGTGTGACGTCGCCAAAGGTGGGCCGGGGGGCCGGGGGGTCGGGGGGGGTACCGCTTTACGGTTATTGTACTTTTGTGTTTTTATTTATACTTAATACGGACACATTCTATCTTTGCAGCAAGGTAACACCAAATGAAACCTTGTGCATATCCATATATATATATAAATCATAATTATTCAGGTTACTTCATTGTATTTTGTTTTATTTTGTAATCGTTATTCAATAATTCACTTCTATTTTGGCACAGAAGGAAACATTTGTTATTTAATTTTCCAGCATAAAGATATTGCATTTATTCAAAATGGCCGTGTACCTGTTGAATGTGACCCAATAACACACACATTTCACTGATAACGGACAAATACTAAACTAAATACTAAACTAAAAACAGGTGTCTGCCCAGCATTTACACAGCCAAAGACTAATGTAAAATGTTGTATTCCTTTTCACTTGAAAGTTAGTTAAAAGAAAAGCCCTTACTACACATTACTCCAGGCTCCTAACATGTGTGTTTGCAAAGGTCTACCGTCATCATGGTTTCTCCTACAGACCTGTTGTTTCTTAGAAAGCTGTAAATGCTGGAGATTAATGATTAAAACGTCTTTTCTCTTCCGCTCTGGATTCTTCTCTGTTTGTATAAGATGTTACAGGAAACCATTTTAATCGCTCATGATTCACAGAAATCATGATTGAGTATGTGTGGAAGGATATGACACGGTTTGTTAGAACAACAGTTCCAGATATTTAACTTTCAATATTTCTCAGGCACAATTTTCTCCACATCTTTTTTCTCCCAAAACGGGATAGAATATTTAATAGGATTAAAAAAACTCTTTGTGTCAAAATCCATGGATGTAAGTCCAGCCAGCATGGAAGATCAGCCTGTTATGTGTAACGGCTAAATGGTTTTTGTGTTTGCGTTGCGACTGATAAAATCAGAGGCGCGTTTGACCAGTCAACTGAAACTCTGAGCCAACGGGCCTAATTAAACGCCACAGCCGCGCCGCTGGCTGCGTGTGTGTGTGTGTGTGTGTGTGTGTGTGTGTGTGTGTGTGTGTGTGTGTGTGTGTCCGCCGCAGAGACAGTTGAGATAACAGACATCGGGAAAAAATGAAATACAAAATAAAACCATTGTAATCGCAACCATTGTGACACTGCACACACTAAGAGTGTGGTTTTCAGTAGACAAAAGCAGCCTACTGTAAGCGGCCCGTGGACCTGTGGCAGTGAAAACACGCCTTGTGCTCCTCGGCTTATCGAGCCGGTCTACTGTGTGCGGCCATAGGCTGCGACACAATGAGGGCTTAGCTGATGGGGGGGGGGGGGGGACCTCATGGGTAAATTGAGGCATTTAAAAAGAAGCTCTGTTCAGCAGTAACCTGATCCACACCTGACTGGGGCTCGGCATTCCGGTCTGGCTGATGGAAGAGTTCACAATGAGCAGAGAAGCTGGGACAAAGAGCCAGCAAACGGGATGATCTGAATAAAAAGTTGAAAAGAAACACTCGTTCTGAAAATATGTTTGCAAAGAGAGAACGGACAAGAGGGGCGTTTCACCTTTCATCCCATTTTATTGAATCTTTTCTTGGACATTACATGGAATAATACCTCAGTAAAAAGGTCAAACATTTTATACATGAGGTATCGCAGATAATGAGGTCTGAAAAGCCGTTTGCATTGTTCTACTGTACGTGGACAAAAGCCAAGTCCTCGCAAGGAATTCAGTTATTACGATAAGAGGAAGAAAGTAGATCTTTCAACAAATAAAGGCTTCTTTTTTTTGGAATACGTTTCCTTCTTTTACACGGCACTCACATTAACATTCCTGGTAGAAATGAAGTCGTCAAAAGAACCTTAACCCTCGATTGCTGCTCTTTTGACTCAGAAATCAATCAATCTTCCAGTGCAAGGATCCTAGTTCCATAGTCATCATCATGCGGCCCCATCTGCCACGGCCATAAATATGATGATGTGCTTCCCTGCACTGCCCTTTGTCAATACCCTGCATGTCACATGCACAAGAGCGAGAGAGGAGGAAGTAAGAGAGCAGAAGGTAATGCCATTTAATGGACGGCATTACCAGACAGTATTAGACACCATTAATTACATCTAACCATGTCTGGTAAGACGCCAATCAACAGGCTGGAAGGATGACCTCTGAGCTTTCACCTGTGCAGAGAGGAAGAGGAGAGGAACAGTGCAGCAGAAACAGGTTGAAACGAGCAGTTCCTCTTGTCTTGCAATCACAGATTCTACACATTTACAGTTACATTGGCCCAGCATGCAGAGGGAGAACAAAGCCACGAGTGAGCAGACCGAGGCGTGAAGCAGAGTAAGCCCGGTGAATTGTGTTTGGTCCCAGTCGCTCTACGTTGTTGCATCAATACACCGACCACGTGACGCCCACACAAAGGAAGGGGACAACTGGGAGAAAACAAAAAAGCTATTTCATGTTTCTGTGGTAGGAATAATGGAGCCGGGTGGGTAAATAAAGGTGCGTCTCATTATCCACGGAGTAATTCTCCCTCCTTAAACAAACACTGGGTCTCTGCTTGCTTCA